TTTTCATGCCAGATGGCTCTGACATCCATAGGACAGCCACTGGCCAGAATTTTAAAGAGAAGATTGACAACTTCCTTGCCATGTGTGAATCCATTATTGCCTCAGCCAATCTTGTCTCTGTACAATGACCTGGTCAGCAGTCAAGCTCTTCTTGCAGTCACAATACCCCACCTCATCTCATCAGCACAATGTTCTTCAGCAACAAAGAAGCCCTGGAATTTCAGGTCAACTTGCACCCTTCTTCCTACCTAATCAATGAAGAACTTGAGGAGGATGCTGACAAAGGAGACCAACATGCCTTAGTGAGAGCTTATGCTCAGGTAGAAGAATTGAAGAACAATATCAAGAAGAAGAAGAATGCTCATTTCGATGGTGTAGAAATTCCAGCTCATTGCCAGCAAACCCCAGTGGCTGCTCCTGCACCTGCTGGCATGCCAGCTGCCTCTAAGACAGTCATTAATTCTGCACCAACCAATTCCACCCCTTCAACAGAGATCCCAGCCATTACTAAAACTCCAGTCATCTCTAATCCCACAGATCTCCAGAAATCCAAGCCTACAACAAGTTCCACACCCCAATTTCATTGTCAGAGCAGTTTTGATGAAGTGGCAGCTACCAAATGACTCATAGACCAAGTCTTAGATGCAAAGATGGAAATTTCCACTAAAGATCTCTTAGCCATCAGCCCAGAGATTCACAAGCAGGTTAGAGAGCTAGCCATGATGATGAAGATAACCATTGGGAGCTTAGAAACAGCATCAGAAGCTACTGCCTCTGCTACCTGGGTGTCCTACAAACAGTATTGGGTCAGAGACACAGAAGGGAAGTGTGTAGGCCTCGCTACTGCACCATTATGCACCATCAATGGCATCCTAATGGACAAACTTCACATTGAATGTATCCTGGACAGTGGATGTCAGGTAGTGGCCTTGCAACAGGAGTTGTGGGAAGCATTAGAGGCCCCCCTCCATACTGACATGACTATGACTCTGGAGGCTGCTAACCAATCCAAAGAAAGCACCCTTGGGGTCATAGAGAATGCCACCTTGTGCATAGGAAATGTTGAGGCCCATCTACAAATCCAAGTCATTGATCACACACCTTTCAACTTACTGCTTGGTCGACCCTTCTTCTGCCTACTCTCCAGCATCCTCTGTGATTTCCCTGATGGAGAACAGTCTCTAGAAATCCATGACCTTAATTCTGGGAAACAAGTTTTAATTCTGACACAACCTTGCAACAGACTGCAACCCCTTCCACATTTTGTAAATTCCAAAGACAAAGAAGACTTCTTTGCATGAAAACAAATGTGTTGCCATATGACACAGCCTGAACAGGGTTTTTAGTGTTGGTTGATGACTCATTTGGATCACAAGGAGGCCATGATAATCTGCTCTCTGTGTGCCTTATGCTCTACTTATCAGTTCGATCCCATTTATCATAGTTTAAAGTACAAACCTGTGGCAAGGAAGGTGAGGCCAGTACTGATGTTGATGCCAGCAGAATTCTTGGTAGAGCATCAGGAGGCTGAGGACCCACTCGCAGATCTGCCTGTTCTACCTACTCATTCCCCACCATTCATGCCAGGTTCCAGGTTTACTCAGGAAAGAGCTGATGAGCTCAATCTGGACCCAGCAAGGTTCCTTTGGCCTACTGAATTAGACATAGTATGATGGCTCTGGTCAAAACACATGAGGCCACCTTCACTTGGGATGCTTCAGAAAGAGGGACCTTTTGAGAGGATATGTTCCTGCCCCTGAAAATACCTATGCTAGCCCACAAGCCCTGGGTCAAGCAAAATATTCCCATTCCCCCTGCTATTTTCCATGAAGTTGTTAACATCATCAAAGAAAAGATTTCTGCAGGGGTTTATGAACTGTCTACCTTGTCCTATCGCTCAAAATGGTTCTGCATAGTCAAGAAGGATGGAAAATCTCTGTGCCTCATCCATGACTTACAACCTCTAAATGCTGTTTCTATCCAGGACTCAGCCATTCCCCCCTTCATCAATTCCATCACTGAAGCCTTTGCTTGCCATTTGGTCTACAGAATTTTGGATCTTATGGTCAGATATGATCATTGCACCATACATGACAATTACTGCAACCTCACTACCTTCCAAACTCCTATCAGTACTCTATGACTCACTAAGTTACCTATGGGCTACATCAATGCCATCCAGATTTTCCACAGAGACATCTGTTGGATATTGAAGGATGAAATCCCCAAACTAACCATACCTTTCATTGACAATTGCCCAATCAAAGGTCCCAAATCCCACTACCAAAATTCCAATGGTACCTACCAGATGATCCCACAAAATTCCAGGATCAGATGCTTCATCTGGGAGCACCTACAGAATGTCAACTGCATCTTACACCATCTATGTCACACAGGAGCTACCATCTCAGCAAAGAAATGTGTCATTGCTGCACCATCTATCATAGTGGTTGGGCATAAGGTGTCATTTGAGGGGAGAATTCTGGACGAAGCTAAAGTCCAAAAGATTAAAGACTGGCCCTACTGCACAAACATTACTGAAGTGTGCAGATTTTTAGGTCTTTGCTCATATTGCAGGATCTTGATCAAAAACTTTGCTAAACACACACATCCCCTCATTGAGCTGACCAAGAAAGATGTCCCCTTCAAATTCTGCAATGAACACAGAGAAGCCATGGAATATCTTCGCCAGGCTATTGTCTTGTCCCCTGTGCTATGTACTATTGACTATGGTTCTGAAAGGAAGGTCATTCTAGCAGTTGACACTTCAAATATCGCTGTAGGATACCTCCTCATGCAGGAGGGGGAAGACAGAAAATGCTACCCTGCTAGGTTCAGCTTGATAACCCTCAATGATCATGAATGCTGCTACAGCCAAGCTAAGCTTGAGTTGTTTGGACTATCCTGTGCTCTGCATGACATCTGGCTTTATATTTTCAGCATGCAGAATTTAGTTGTCAAGGTGGATGCACAGTACATAAAAGGGATGATTAACAATCCTGACCTACAGCCTAATGCGACCATAAATTGTTGAATTGCTGGAATTCTTCTATTTGACTTCAAGCTCATACATACTCCAGCACACAAGCACACAGCACCAGATGGACTTTTGAGGAGGCTGAGGGCAGAAGAGGATGAGGAGGGAGACAAAGACTATGAGGATTGAATAGATGAGTGTGGGGCTTTCACAGTTGAGCTCTTGAATCATAGGGAAGTGCATTTCGAGTCTCAACCTTGCCCCTTGGGAAACCCAAGTGTCATGCCAGACTCATCTCTCACCCTGTCACAGAGCCTAGGTATCTTTACTGCTGAAGAATTGATGCCTGGAATCCTCAAGACTGAAATTCCAAGGTCAGAGAAAGTGATCCAGAAAGAGGAGAGGTTAAAAGTGGTGAAGGAGTTTTTGGAGACAAGGAAGACACCAGAAGGATTGGAGGAAGGGGAATTGGAGAGCTTAGTATGTCTTGCCACATGGTATTTTGTTAAAGGAGGAGAGCTGTGGAGAAAAGAGCCTCAAGGACATCACCAACTAGTAGTTGCCCCACACAAATGCCTCAGAATCCTTCATCAGGCTCATGATGAGCTAGGGCACAAGGGTATCTTCTTGACCCACATGCATTTGCTGACTCATTTCTGGTGGCCTATGCTAGAGCAGGACATCCACTGGTATGTCAAGTCATGTCATGAATGCCAAATCTACTGTTCAGATCATGTACATATTCCACCAGTCATCACCATTCCAGAACCCCTATTCTACAAAGCATACATGGACATGTTCTTAATGCCAAAGTCAAACAGGTTTCACTACATCACCCAAGCCCACTGTTCACTCACCAGTTACCCTGAATGGGCTATGCTTCATGCAGAGACAGGCAAGTCCATTGGAAAGTTCATCTTTGAACAGATTCTGTGCCATTGGGGTGCTGTTGCAGAGATTGTCACAGATAACAGGGGACCATATGTTCTCACTCTTGACTGGCTCTCCAGGACCTTCAGAATTTGTCACATACACATCTCTCCTTATAACTTGCAGGCTAATGGAGTTGTCAAATGGCAGCATTTTGATGTAAGAGAGGTGATGGTAAAAAGTTGTAGTGGGGAAGCATCAAGGTGGTCAGAAGTAGCCCCTGTGGTATTTTGGGCAGAGAGGGTTATGGTCCACAAGGCAACTGGGTTTTCTCCATTCTATATGGCTCACAGTGTTGAACCCAGACTCCCTTTTGATCTGGTCAAAGTGATGTTTTTAGCCCCTTTCGAGGCAGAATTTTACCCAACCACAGACCTCATTGCTCACCATGCTTGCCAACTCCAGAAATGCCTGGAGGACCTTGCTCACATCCACAATCTGGTCCTAAAATCCCACTTTGCCTCAGCCAAGGATTTTGTCAACTGTTTTGCACATTCTATCAAAGACTTTAACTTTGAACCAGGGTCACTTGTCCTCATTCGGAATTCCCATATCAAACTGGAACTCAACTGGAAAACCAAACCATGCTACCTAGGGCCTATGATTGTCATCAGATGCACTAAAGGCAGCTCATACATACTTGCAGAATTAGATGGTGCTATCTCGAAATTCTGCTTCACTGCATTTCACCTATACCCCTATTTCCTGCAGAATAACACTTGTATTGAAGTCACCCAGCTGACTGGCACTTCCTCACAAGACCTGGATTGTCTTGAAGATGATGCATTCCCAGACCCTATGCTCACTGGCATCCCTTTGGACGAGTCAGATGAGTAGCCTGTCCTTCTCTCTACCTCCTTTCTTTTCTTTCCCTGTTCTTTCTTTTATTGATACCCATTTCATCTCTTGTATAAATTCTGCACTGCTCACATGAAAGAGACTTAAAAAAAAAAGAAATTCTGCAACACTTCTTCCTTCAGAAGTCTTACTTTTCCTTCCCTTACTGTAGTACTAATACCAATGCATGAAAACCTCTTACAAATTTGGAGCATATGAGTACAAAAAAAAAATTCCACAGACTCTAGTATGCTATTTACAGGTCCCAGAGATTGTCCTTCAACCTTTGCAGCTCCTCCCATCTAGCCCACACAGTCTTGATCTGATGTGTTACCCACCTTGACAACATCTCCAGCAGCCAGTAGACCTGCTCCAGCTTGAATTCCTTGTCCTTGGCCCTTGCCTTGACCACTCGCAGACACTCAATGATGTTCGCTGTTGACCACTCATGTTGGTATTCAACCTCTGGAATTTCTGCAGCCAATGGAGTGTTGCTCTGGGCTGTCACTTTGACATCTCCAGGTTCATCCAATAAACTGGTCACAGTTGCAAAAAATGGTTCAATCTTGACTTGTGGTTCATTGATCAGAAGTGACACATGAGGATCATTGACAGGGACTGGTGAGGGCTTGAATGAAGGTCTGGGCATTGGAGTGGCTCTGTGGAAAAAGAGACAGGGTGCTGGCAAAGGGGCTGGATCTGGTGAAGGTGAGTGTGTGGGGGTCAGATCAGGCTGCCATTTTTGAGCCAGAATTTTTGGAGTAAGCTTCTTGACAGGTTTGGTCACAGATTCTGCTGGGGCCAGCTTCAAGGTTGTAAATGATTTGACTTGTTTGTGGGATGGCCCTGCCTCCCCAATGGTACCAGAGTTCTTTCACTGAAGGTGGTGTCAACTCATTCCCCTGTGGAATTTCACCTGTGCAGTACTCACCTTTCTCCCTATGCCTTGAGAGTGTGAGCACTTGCATTTTGCCTTCCTGCACCATTTGCAGGATGCTTCTGGCTCCCCAATGCATGTGAGGTTTGCCTGGGCACACATCTCACAGGGCTCATTGTCCCCAGCTGTGCAAGGTCCCTTTGCAGATGGACCTGGTTCACCATCACCCTCATCATCATCAATGTTGTCAGCCAGCTCATCCTCCTTACTGGTGGCCTGTGGAATTTTCATTGAAGTCAACATGCATGCTCAGAGTTGTCAAGGCTGTAGAGCGCACCTTCTGCTTCCCTTTTCCCTTGCTCGCACTACCAGAGCCCTCCCCTGTCAAGTGTGCAGCTCCTCTTGATGGGTTTCCTTTGGTGTCTTCTGGTGCATGGTCTTGGCCCTCACCTCTTGCTGCTTGGCCCTGGGTGTGCATGGATGGTGCCTTGGCTAACCTCTCAGCCTCCAACTGTGCTCTCTCCCCTACCCACTCCTGGTAGTCCTCAAAAAGGTCATCAATGTTGAACCTGCACTGCCCTTCTGGCTGCCAGAGATCTGCTATTGCTATTGCTGTGGGGATTGCCTCATTCTGCCATATCATGGATTCCTTGGTCATGTCACATAGGTTGGCATTGTGCACCTTTGGGATAGAGATCTTGTTCTCATTGATGTACTTCCACCACAAGTAGATCCCAGCCTGGGGGTTGACTGGCATTGTCTCAGTACCATCTATGTACCTGAGCAGCCCATGAGCATCCAAAGACCACATTAGCCTGTCCTTGTATGTTACCCAGTTCTCTCCATCTGCCAAGAGCTTTGGGACCTTAAGGAAATCATCTCCAAGCTTGGATGTGAATGACATTTTGCTATGGGTTCCCAGTTAGTGAGCAACAGGACTCATAACCTGTAGAATATATACTCAGTTGGGTTAAGTAGCCAACTGAGATGTGAGTATGCTACTCGAGTACAAAAATGAACATGATTATGTAATATTGCCAAATGTGCACCATAATACTAAGTGGGATGCAGATGAAAGTATAATATGAAAGACAGAATATACAACAGATCCATCCTCCCTGCTCCCTGCAATGTCTTCATACCAGTCTTGTCCATTGTTCTTCCAAAATTGCAACAGCTACAGTATAATCTGCTGTTCTCTGCTCTCCCTGATCACATCCATGATGAGTATGACACACATCTTGCCTCCTTGTTGCAAGATACAGCAGAAGATGCTCCCCCTCTGTCTTTTCTTCCAACAGAGCCTCATTCATGAAGTTTTTATTTGCTTCACTGAGAGGACAGTTAGGGGGGGAAAGTTGTGATCCCCTATGCTCCTGTTGCCCCACAGACCCCCAAAGCTTGACCCCTGTTGACATCTGACTCACCCTGTCTGCTTTTGGACATACCATATTGGCATCAGATCAGTGCTGCCTCTCTGTCATCCCACTTTGGCCCAGAAATGATCTCTTTGAGATGTGACATGCACAGCCTCCCCCTAATCCAATTCCAGTGCACTTTCCCAGTTCCTGACATTACTTGACTCATACTTTGACATTCTGACTGTCTTTTACTCACCTATTGTCAATACTTACCAATCTTTTGACCTTGCTTACTGATTCTTTGCTTTTTGGCTTACTTATCCTTACCAATACTTACCAATGTTTTCTAAGACAATTACCCAAGGCTTACATTCCTTACTTATCACTTACCAATCACTTACCAAGTGTTTGCACCTTGTTTTCCATAGGCAGCACCCCTGTACTGTATATAAATCACTGTACTTAGATAGCTGAATAAGAAGAAGATGTCAGAGAGCCCCTCTTGCTTGCATTTTTATCATCACTCAGTAAGTCATTCATCAGCTTTGATAGTTGAGACTTTATTAAGGGTCTAACTATTGTCTACTTTGCTTATCATCATCTATCATCAATATCTGGAATGGGTGCATGTACTTACCAGGCCATCCATGGGGAATCATTACAACTGGGTGGGACCAGCTTTGTGGAGGATGTTTGCTTGTGTTGGAGGTGTGAGGTTTCTTTTGCAGGCAGGTCATCATGTAGTCCACATTGTTGTCATCATTAGCATCTTCATCATCAGGGTGCAGGCTGCTGCAAGACCTTTTCTTGGTTCATGCACAGGAGGGATTCCATTGTGAGGGTGTGGCAGGTGTTTTGTCTCTAGGCAGACAGGGAGTTGCAGACATGCACCTATTGGTTTCTGAGTGCAGGGCACATTGGTGTTGGTACACTTGTCACAATGATTTTCACTGGGAGCTGCAGCTGGCCCAGATGGGTCTGTTGCTGGATGGACCTGATTGCCAGTTTGACTCCTGCCTCACCCTGTTGATTGAGGTGTTGGACAGCTAGACATACCTGGCCTGTCCATGTCCATGTCCTCCTCCTGATCCTGTTCCTCATCCAACTCATCAACTTCCTCCTGCTTGACTAACTTAGGTTTTGGTGTCTGAGACAGATGAGTGGGCTGGCATGAGTCAGAAGTGGCTACTTTTCATATTGATGGCCATCCCCAAGCAGGCTCATAGTGAACAGTATCCCCTCCCATCTCTGCATCCTCATCTGCCAGTTCATCCTCCCCATTGTCATCTCCAATCATCACCTTCACTTCAGCATCTGACACCTTTTCTTTGCCTTTATGACTCATGACCTTTGGTAATGTTTCTGATGATGGTTCTGCAGCAGGTGGGAAGGCAGATGTCTTGAAGCTGATGCACTGCAAGTTGAAGTGCCTTTCGACCATCTGCAGCCATGGATGGTTGTTGAAGGTGGCCTTGTCTGGGTGCATGCTTAGTCTCCACTTCAGAAATGGGAGACCCTTGTTCTCCCATCCAACCCTCTCATGCCATTTGCAGAACCTTTTGGCCACAATGATGGTGAGTGGGATCTCATGCATCATCCTTGCAATTTTGCACACAGAATCCTATATTCCTCAGAGGTGCAATGTGTGGGATGATATTTGGACTTACCACTACTTCCACTACCCTTCTCACAGCCTCCTTCCAAGCTGCAAACCTCAGCTTGTCAGCCAAGTCCTTCATTCCAAGGACTTGCTAATTGATGATTTTGATGATGGACTTCACTGTGGCTGTGAGCTCATCATGTTTGGTGTAGATCTTCATTGCACTGTTGAGATGGATGCAGGTAAGGTTGAAGTTGTTGGTGTGAGGTACTTTGTGGGAAATAATGCCAATGGATGATGTGATGTGTAACTTCCACAGTACAATCATATTACCACTTACTTAATAGTAATTGCAATAGATTGGTGAAAGCATCAGGACTTACAGACTGGTCTCAAAGTTGCAGAATCAATTCATTATGCCATCCATCCCATGCACAGGATGTGACCTCCAACAGACCACATGGAATACCACCTATGATTGCTCAGAGCCATGAGAATATCTGCTGCATCAATGCGACCTATTTATGGCCCAATACATTTGATCCCACATTATTATCAACATAGCTATGGGTCCATCTGTATTTGTTGATCTGCCCAATCATCCCATCATCAGACCCATCCATTTGATTTAAACTGGTTCATGCCATGTTGATGGCCCTATCAATATGATGCATCATAATACCTCAATATGGCCAATGGGCCTGTTTTTACATGTTAATCAGCCCAACCACACTGTCAACAGCTCCATTTATTTGATCTGATGTTATCTACAACATATATACTGGCCCATCCATATGTGGTGATCACACAGATGACACCATAGATGGGCCCATTCATGTAATGTGATATCATCCATGCCTTAGTGACAGGCCTGTCTGTTTGATGCAACATTATACATGCCTTAGTGATGGGCCTGTTTATATGATGCATCATAATGCACAGATATAACAGACAGGCCTGTGTGTATGTGTTGCTAAGCCTGATCATACTCTCCACATGCCCATCCATTTGATGCGACATTATCTGCATCTTAGTGATGGGCCTGTCTTTATGTGCTGATATTCCTGATTATACCCTCAATGGGCCCATTCATTCTACATGACCATATCCACCACCTGGTGTCATGCCCATCCTTATGCATTGACTTGCCTTACCATACCATCAAAGGGCCCATCTATTTGATGGGACATTATCCATGCCTTGTTGATGGGCCTGTCTATATGATATGTCATAATACATGCATATGACAGACAGGCCCATGTGTATGTGTTTCTAAGCTTGATGATACTCTTGATGGGTCTGTCCATTTGATAGGACATGATCTGTGCCTTAGTGACAGGCCTGTCGATATGATGCATCATAATGCATGCATATGATGGATGGGCCCATTTGTATGTGTTGCTATGCCTGATCATACTCTTGATGGGCCCATCCATTTGATGTGACATTATCCATGCTGTAGTAATGGGCCCATCTATATGATGCATCATAATCCACAGATATGACAGATGGACCCTGTGTGCATGTGTTGCTGAGCTTGATGATACTCTTGACAGGCCCATCCATTTGATGCAACATTATCCATTCCTTAGCAATGGGCCCATTTATATGAAGTGTCATAATGCATGGATATGACAGATGGCCTCATGTGTATGTGTTGCTAATCTTGATGATACTCTCAACAGGCCCATCAATTTGATGGGACATTATCCATGCCTTAGTGATGGGCCCATGTGTATATGTCACTATGCTTGATGATACTCTCAACAGGCCTGCCTATTTGATGCAATATCATCCCTGCCTTCCTGACAGGCCCATCTATATGATGTGTCATAATGCATGCATATGATGGATGGGCCCATTTGTATGTGTTGCTATGCCTGATCATACTCTCTGTAGAAATATCTGTAGGCAGTCTACAGAATATCAGTATAGTAAACATACTAGGAACAATAAGTTCTTACCCTCAGTAGTGTCCAAGCTACTGAGGGAACAGTGTAATGACTGCAGTATGTGTGCGCTCTAGGGGCTTATGTAAGCAGTCAAAATATCGTACCAAAGTGAACAGAAAAGACAGGGGAGAATATATCTCCAACACTCTCAACAGGCCCATCCATTTGATGTGACATTATCCTTGCCTTAGTAACAGGCCCATTCATATAATGTGTCATAATACACAGATATGATGGACAGGCCCATGTGTATGTGTTGCTATGCCTGATCATACCCACAATGGTCCCATTCATTCTACACGACCTTATCTACCACCTGGTGATGGCCCCATCCTTATGCATTGCCTGCCTGATGATCCAATGATACTATTGACAGGCCCATCCTTATGTGTTGATCTGCTGGATCATACCATCACTGGGTCCTTTCATTTGATTCAATGCCATCCATGATATGATGATGGGCCTGTAGCTATCTCTTCATCTGCCTGATCATACTCTCAACTATCCCATCCATTTGATTCCACATTATATTATCTATGTCATGGTGACAGGCCCATCTATATCATGCACCATAATCCATAATATGTCTGATGGGCTGTCCATTTGATGTAACACTGTCTGGACAGGCCAGTATATATGTTGTGATCTGGCCAATCAAACCATCAACAGGCCCATCAATTTGTTGTGATGCTGCATCCCCCAAATGTCAGAAGGGCCTGCACATAGTTGTGACAGCTCTGTCATGGGCCCACTCTTATGTTGCCATCACTCTGGGTCCTCAGGCCTGTTTATGTGTCATGGCTTAATTAATTTGACAGGCCCACACTGGGCTTTATATGAGTAATGTTAATTTGGCACACAGGCTACCCATATGTTGTGCCTAAGCATGACTACACTATGTGCACAATTGCAGATGCAGACAAGTGGAAGATGCTTGGAGAGGATATCTGCAACCATTCTGTTGAGTTTTGTGCAAAGGATATTCTTATGCTTTTCAATGACACTTCTGGATTAGACTGAAGGGAGAAACCCTGTACTACTACTAGAGTTGTTTGAGACATACATATGTAACCCTATGTTATGTACAGTGATGTTATGGAACCACTTGCACATGTTTCATTGGGCTATATTTCCAGTGAAGAATGGACAAGGAACTACTGCTCAGCTCAATCATTGCCAGCATGTCAGCCAGTGGCTATGCTTACAGTGGACCAACTACTGAAAGCACCATATTTATTTCATAACAAACAAGAATGAGGGACCAGTTACTACCATAAGTTTCTTGGGTCAGGATGATCAGTGTGGCAAAAATGGAGCTAGTCAGTGAGCATGGACCTAGGTGTGGAAAAATTAGTAATTGTCACAGATGAATCTTGAGAAATCAACAATGTTAGGTGTCAATGTGCAATATATTGAGATGTACCCTGGAACCTGTCAGTGTGTTATGTCTGTGGTAGAAAGTTCATATTGCTTCTTGATTGGCATGTTTAAATCTTAGCAGCTGGGGTGAGAGTGGGGTGTTCCAAATTTGTCTGCTCTTCTAGCATATCCTAGGGCAAGGGCAGAAATGATGGACAAGTCAGGAAGAAATTTCAAGGAGACCAAGACAAGACTGAAGTGAACCAGGACTCTTATGACTGTATTGCAACATCTAATAGTAGGCTGAATTTGTTCCCAGGGTTCACAGCCTTTCAGGTCCCTGCATAGAGCACAACTAGTATCCTCCTTGTTCACAAGTGTCAAGCTCAGCCATGAAGATAAGTCAAACTGGGAACATCAGTGCATCAAATTCTCTCCATCTAAATTTGACCACATTCATTTGTTATGTATTATGTAAAGGTGTGGCAAGTACTGCACAGGCTTTGATGTCAATTAGCAAAGCTGCAACATCAAATATCAATCTTCACAAAGCTAACTCACAGTCTAGAGACCAAGGGGGTCATGAACAATGTTTCATTGAGCCTGACTCTCTCCAAGGGTTTTCACATAGAGATACAATGTCAGTCAAGATCCATGTCTGTGCTGGCTTAGAGTCCATGACATTTAAATGCTGCTTCCATTGGGAGTGTCTCTGAAAATGAGAGTAGCATTTGGTATGTTGCAGCTGCAAGGTTGTGGTTGTCAGTGGTTGAGGAGCCTGCATGTGCAATAGCAGGAAAAGCACGAATGCATAATGAAATGAAGAGTGAACATCTTCGCAGACATCAGACACAAGATAACTCTGGCAAGGTGTGTTGAGTAAGTGCCCAAAATGGTCTGAGTGTGACAGTGTGACACCAGTAGATGGCCTTTGTAATTACCTAATACTCCCAGCTACTAAGCCTTATTCTGAGTGCCCCAATGTTACTACACTATCATGGACATCTCAGTGATCAGCTGCCAGTGGCACAACAGCAACAGGAGTAGCAGCAATGGGGAAGCATCATGTTGTCTGTGCACATGTAGGGTATCAACAATATGGAAAGCCAGACACTTGCACCACATAATTTTTGAACTCAGTGCCAAACACCCAAGCACTTACTACTTTTGAAAAAAAACTCCTGGAAAGACCCCAATCACCATTATACCATTGTTGAACATCCAATACAACAAGTCCATTCACTATTGTGCCAATGTCCAAAGTCCCATCACCATGAGTTCATATGCTATAGTGATAGATTTGGCAGTCATTTACAAAAAAATATTGTGTAGTTTTATCTGAGTTCAATATCACATAGACCCACAGCTTAGAGTACATATGTGTCTAATGTCTAAGTGGTTGAACAAAGAGATTTGATCCATGGCTGAAAGCCTTCATCCCAAAGCCTTCCCATCTACAAAACAAGTTGCAAACATGTTGATTCTCAAACAGTGCCACCCCTTTCTCCACATTCCCCTCACTAAAGAGTCTTCGACCTTCAGCAACATCACTAGAGACAATAAAAGAGCATGGGACATTGACAAGGTAGAATACTGAGTAAAATGTACTTATGGATGTGTGAGGATCTGTGGATCTGTCAAAAGCAGTCCACTACCTGGTTGAACTCATGTAAGTAGATGCATGAGTAGTGCCACCTATTGCCACAGCTTACCTTGATAGTCAGATATGTATACTTGACCACCAGTCATGATGTACTGTACATGTTGAGTGAAGGCCAAAAAGTCTGCAATCTCTTCTGCCTTTGTATCCAGAAGGAAGCAAGGAGCTGCATCGCCATTGTGGATGTACTTCACAAACTCATCATCTGAGGACATGGGGATGAGTTCCTCAACAAGGTATGCGACATTCACAATACTGCTGGGCTTGTACAGCTTCCCAGACCCCCTTTCTGTTTCTGCTGGCACATCCAAATATGCAAATAACAATCCTGCATCCACAAAGCACAGGCAAGGAATTTCGAAAGGTGGCAGTACCTTGGTATCTTCAACAGCATGATCAACAAATTGGTATGTCATCTGCAAGAGTGCTTTGGCCCAGTACAAAGCATTGGCTTCACAGTAAAGTATGTTGGACTCATCTTGTAGGGCATAACATGTGAATGGGGGTTTGACTTCTGCAGGATGGTTGTCAATATATGGTCTTTTGAGGATGATGTGATCATTGGGAGATGACCCAATACCCATGTCCCTGAGAGGTGATAGGTTGAGTTGTGCAATTTGGGCCATCTTGAATGCTCTGACTCTGATGATCAAATCAGCAGAGGCATTGAGCTGGATTTTCCCAGAGCAAAGGTCAGCATTTCTAATATTGAATTCAGCCTTCTCACTGACCAGATCATTAAGATCATGGGTCAGGATGGGGTAAAAGTCCACTTGTATGACTTTCTGCCAGAAGACTAAGATACATCAGTACTTTGAAACTACAATGATATCAACTGGAAAGTCTGCTTACCTGTCTTTAAATTGAATTCAGAGGCCCCCCCAGACTGTAATGCTTTCTTGATTTGATTGCAGTTGGGGGACAAGAAAGTTTTCACAGATCTCTTCTGGGGTGGAAGGGGAGTAGAACTGCTGGATGAACTACTAGTATGATGGTGGTGGCATTTACCAGACATCACACTTGAATTAGTGGGCAGCACCATATCCTATGTTCAATGCATTAGTGGATGGGTTGGGTCAAAATCATGTTGGAGCTGAGCATACCTTTTCTCCATACCAAAGATGTGAAACATCATGCAAGATTGGGTGATCAAACGTGCTACTTGACATCATAGAAACCACTCCCTTGGAGAAAAAAAGAGTGGATGGCTCAGAAGTCATCATGCTTTGAGGTACAACTGGTGTCAAGACTGTAGAACCAGGGAGAGAAGTGCTCAAGCCAGCCTGAGATGTCTGCTGTTTGTGGGCAGGTGGGCTAGAGTGGAGCTTCTCTTGAAATTCTTGAAATTCTTCCCACTGATTTGCAGGTACAATGATGAATGACATGAACTGTTTTGATTTAAAAACCCTCGCTTTTGATCCTCTCCAATTGCTGTCATGGAGACAGTCACCATAAAAGTATGCCATTGGGCTCAAATGTCTGGAAAGGTCAACCCATTTACTGTCACAGATGAATAATTCCTCCTCTCACCAGGGAAACTGTGGGCAGTAATCTTTGATGCACAGTACCAAAATGCCAAGTGCTATGGCCAAAAGTTCATGCACAGTGCTCAGCATGTCAACATCTTTCAGCCCCTCACAGAGACTCTATCAAACTTGATTAACACTGCTCATACAATCTGAATCAAGCAAAACTTACCCCAATGTTGTTTTCTTGCAGATTCTTCTTTTTGCCCCCAGCTTTGAAGACTGCCCATATTTCTAAGGAGATTGTCTCTGCAGGAGGTGGGTTGTGAGCCATGTGTGCCCAACATTCACATTGAGCTGCATAATGTACATGCTGTGTACTATAACCAGTGGAGCCAGGTGGCAGCATGATCATGTGGCCTGATGCAGCATTTGCCAGAGGGTTTGCTGGCCAAGGGACATTCTGCCAAGCAGCTGGCACTTGGACACTCAGGCCAGCAGGGGAAAACTTGGGGTTGTGATGAGCAGTTGGCATTGGTGGTGGAGGCATCAGCATTGCCAAGTTGCTGAGGTTTGGAGCAGCATTTGACATGGCCACAACAGCAGGGGGGTTGACCAAAGCTACAAATAAGTTGAGTTTAGCAGCAAGTCTGAATGCACAGATTGGACATACCTCGCAACTGTGCAGCACTTATGGACTGACATATGTATCATGGATCAGGTAATGCTGAGAATGTATGAGTCCAAGCCCAATGAACAGAGCAGAACATATGTACCATTGGTGTTTTGTGCCCAAGCTATGGTGGTGGGTTTGTTCTTGTACCACCTATGACACACTTCACAGATGAATTTACTGGGCTGAGCAGGATCATAGGCAGCAACATAGAGGCAAGGCTCACCCTTGTGTATCGGAGCTTGGCACCAAGACCGCTGGCAGATCCTGTCTTCTTTTGTGAACACATCCTCAGTAAACTGAGTAACAAAGTTTGAAACAGATGCTTGCATGGGAGAAGGATCACAAGATAATGAAGATACTGAGTGAATGGGTGAGAATGACAGTAAACAGGTTAAGTACAATCCACTGGATGATGACCAGCTGGTATCCCAGTTGATGGAACCACTGGCACACACAAGGCCTGACCATAAGAATGTAACAAACTTCCTTCATTAGCTAGTTTGTCATGAGATAAATTCTGGGCACTTACTTCAGCCAAGATGGAATCAGATGATGAAATATGCAAGGACATTTCATGCAGTGGCCCTAGCATTGACCTTAAGTGTAGCAGATGGCTGATGAACTTTGGAATGGGTCCTTGAATGGATTTGGAAGCCTACCTGTAGGTTTCAGAGGAACATGACCATACCTTGAGGACACAGGGGGTTAAATTGAGTGACAGAATCCACAGTAAAAGGTCATATTTGCAACCTTGAGGCATGGTTTGTCTTGAATGGTCACATGAAAGGGTAGGATGAGAACCCAATTTGTTGAGCATTGGACAAGCACAGCCCATCAAAGCAGCATGAGGAGATAGACACATGGTGAATGTGCCCATTGCAGAAGGTTGAACAGAGAGCCTAAGTGATTGGCTGTCCATACATGTGTCTGTAATACTTGTGATCACAATGACTTGCACATGTCTGCAATGCTTGTGATCGCAACACTATAACACAGCTTCAGTACATCTTAACACATCAACAGGAGATCTTAAGAGTCAGGGTCAGGGTGAACTGACTACTGTGGAAACCCTTCAGATTACAGCACACCATTCTCATGTCTACCCTCTTGAAGAATCAGAATAAACCTACTCATAAGTACTAGTTCTCCCAGTGATATGATGATGTATTACTCATGACCTACAGCACCCCTTGACCAAATTGAGCCCCACATCAGGTGACTGTGGAAAGCCCACCTGACAGATAAGGAGATTGTTTCCGAAATCCACAAACATATTGATATGAGTGTCTATGGTATTGAGTGAGGTTTTCTTTGAAAGGGAGTGACTCATGACTCACTGATAATCTCAGCCTCACCAAGTTTCAGGAAATTTGAAAGCAGCTTGGACTACTTTGCACCTGCCAACAGGGACACACCTGTGAGAGTATCCATGGTTGAGATGTGGAAAATGTACCCCGATGCAGGGGTACATGAGATGATTGGGCTGCTCTTTCATGAGCATGGTATGGCTGTCTCAAGGTAAGCAAACCATGACCAATTGTCCACTCACTTGCAGAATGCTGATGAGAAATTAGCACATAGAAGTGTGATCTGAGAGTATTTTGTTACCTATGAACCCCACTTATTGAAGAGCTGCAAAGCCAATCATTTGCAGTGTCACTGCTTCTGGGCAGCCAGTGTAAACAATATATGGGCTGTAGTGGTTGTGTTTCGGCCTCACACTACACACTGGCATCAAACCCTTTTCAGGCCATATCCTCTGGACCAGGGTTTGGCACTCCAATTGCAACCCACAGCTCATCCTCTCTTATTACCTCGATACTGTCAAAGAATTTGGCTGTAAGTTCCATGCATATCTTCCTATTTTTGCTCAAGTTCATGGTCTGTAAAACATTCCCATGATCACTCAAAGTGATCCAGGTACCAAAAACTTTGGAATTGCGAATGCACAAACTCTACTGTGGCAGATGCATGATCTGGCTCTTGAGGGCTATGTTCAGCACCGGTGGATGCATATAAAGAAGAATATCAAGCCAGAGATAACCTGGTCCCAGCTCCACTGCCATTTCTCCCCATGTTTTGAATCTCTACTTGATATGGGTGTAGATTCTGGCTGGTATGACCCCAACAACATGCTACAGCTGTAAGTATGCTGTTCACACCTGTCCCTGTATGTATTCAAAGTGACCCCATCCACAGCATGGTTTTTCAATGGGTATTCATCCCTTGGCTCCAAGTTGAGCTAAACAACTATCAAGACCACATCAACAACCAAAAGCATCATGACAAAAGAAAGGTTTTGCCTCATGGAATCCTGGAACTCATCTATACATGCCCAGAGGACTATGGGGTGTTGAATTTCAAGGCATGTCCTAACTATCTTGTAGCTTACATTTCAATGCTAACCTACTATGTATTTGTGCGTGATGTAGATAATGGTTTCTCCAGACACCATTGAATGAGTGCAACAATTGTACATCAATCCCAACCACATCATGTGTGACCTCATGCCCCCTTCTCTCAAAGCATTCATTGAAGCATGTTACTTTCAATTGGGCAGCCCTTCTGTTGGACGCACCTCCACATGGACTGTCTACTGCAATGGCCTAATGCAGCACTGTGAGGGAGTGCCCACCATTCTGACAGCAATGGAAGACCATCTTGATGCAGCTTCCAAGGAATTGAATCTCCTGCCAGGCCTTCATGCTCTCCATGAAATGGAGGGTTATATGGGTGGCATTGCAAATGGACTGGGCCTTTGTAAGTGTTTGCTTCATAATCCAAACAGCAATCCTTTCTGATTCCTGTTCATTTCAGAGGCCAGCCATCTACAGATAGTGGATGCTCTGAACATTGATGAGCCTGATATCTACAATGAGATTGACACCACTCCTCCACTTCTAGTGGCTCAGTTTTCTTCAGAGGAGGATGATGAGGCAGATGAGGAGGACATCGATGCCAGTCTGTGAATGTAGCCTATCTCACATCTTCCTTATGAGCTAGTTTGTCAATTCAGCAGCTGGTAGTCTCCCCATCTTACACAATTACATTGTTATTGTCTTGTGGTGTCCAGAATGAAAACCTCATGTAGTACTTTTACATATGAGAGTGGTTAAGATCACACAACCTTGAGCATTCACACAACATGTGCTGGTTGTGTGGTGTTGTTCTTCAATTGGCAAGATTTTTTGGAGGATGATGTGCTGCAGGACTGTCAAGTCTATGGAGAGGAATATACTCAGACTTCAAGTTGGTTGAAGCTAAACAATGAACTACCTATGGAGAGGAATATACTGTAGGTAGGTAAGTAAGTGTTCCAATATAATGAATGGAAGGAGTCCCACCTCAAACTTCAAGTTGGTTGAAGCTGAGGTGCAGTAAGGAAAAAATAAACTGCTAAGTGTCCGCTTTTGGATTACATAATGCTGTGCTCAGTGAACCACAACTAAGGTAAAGGTGATAAACTCCAACATGCCCCTTCAGCGAGTATAGTCAAGAAGGGATTAAAAGAAAACAATACCCATAGCTTCAGAGAAACAAACATGCTTCTCCCTAGACACACCCTTAGTCAGCACATTGGCCACCTGGTCATTGGTAGACACATAGTTGACAACTACTTCTCCAGAATCCACCTTCTCTCATATGAAGTGATGACAGATCACAATATGTTTTGTGCGGTTGTGGAACATCGCATTTCGAGCCAGTGAGATAGCAGATTGATTGTCGATGAGGAGGGGAGTGGGTTCATGTGATGACACAGTCTTGAGTTCGAGGACTAGGGTACGAATCCAGATAGCTTCCTTTGTGGCAGTGCATGTGGCCATGTACTCGGCTTCTGTACTTGAGAGAGCAACAGATGATTGCTTTTTTGATGACCAGCTAACAGCTCCACCAGAAAGGATGAACATATAGCCAGTAACAGAGCAGCGGTCATTGATATCCACTGCCCAATCTGCATCTGCATACCCAATCACACATGCATTTGAGTCTTGCTTATAGGTAAGGTGGACATTGGGGGTGCGTCACAGATAGTGAAAAACATGCTTTAGCACAGTAGAGTGTTCATGCCCAGGGCATGCAGCATGATGGCCCAACACACCTACAGTAAAGGCAAGGTTGGGCCTCGTTGCTAGCATTGCATACATGAGGGCTCCAAGAGTGCCCTGGTATGACTTGGTGTCGGCCTCTGGAATTTCTAGTTTTTTGAGCTTTAGGTTAGGCTCAATGGGGGTCACGATGGCTTGCCCCTCGCTCATTCCAAAGCGCTCGAGAATAGTCTCAACATATCTCTTCTGTGAGAGCTGTATGATACCTTTATCATGGTCATGATGTATCTCCATTCCTAAAATCCAATGTGCCTCCCCCAGATCTTTCATCTCGTACTCCTGTGAGAGCTGAGCCTTGATGCGCTCAATGGTTGTGCGGCACTTTGAGAGTATTAGCTTGTCATCTACATAGACAGCAACAACAATGAGTATGCCGTTCTCGACTTTAAAGAAGAGGCTATGGTCGGCCTGGCTTTGAGTGAAACCCAGGGATTCAAAAACAGTCCGAAGGTGAGAGTACCATGACTTGGGGGCCTGTTTAAGGCCATAGAGCGCTTGCAGCAGCTGCCAGACTTTGTTGCTGTCAGGAGGAAAGCCTGGAGGGGGGCGAAGGTATATTTCTTCATCTAATAGTCCATTTAGGAATGCAGATTTAACATCCATCTGATGAATTTCGAGATTGTACTTAGTGGCAAGCACCAGGAGTATGCAGATGGTTGCGAACTTGGTGACAGGTGCAAATGTCTCCATGTAGTCGATCCCATGTACCTGTGTAAAGCCTTTGGCTACCAAACAAGCCTTGTACCTCTCAATTTCACCAGTTGGCCCTCGCTTGATCTTGTAGACCCATTTCGAGTCAATCAGTTTACGGCCAGGGGGCAGGGCAACTTCCTCATACAGTCCAATGGACTTAAAGGTCTGTAATTTGTCAATCATCGCAGCATACCACTGATCTGCATCGGTGCATTGCATTGCATCGTTGAACGAGTGAGGTTCATTGTCATGTGTTGTAGATGCTTTGTAAGCCACTTCCTCATTCGTCTCAGCCACCTCAGCCTCGCTGTTGCCACACGCATGCTCTCGCTCTCGAGCGATTTCATTGATGGGGCTTCCACCCTCACTCTCTGCACCTGAACCCTCTGGCACCACAAGCTGTTGACCAGGTAAGGTTGTCCTGTCATAGGAATTGATGAAAAAACAATAATCATCATCTCTAGGTGGCACTTTTCATGTTCTGGTGGACCTGCAGGTCTCTCGAGGCAGAATTGGAGTTGGATAGGGCTGCAGGGGTGTTGCTTTATGCATGGTAGGTTTCGGCGTCATCCTAGCTCGCTTTACTGATGGTTTTGAGGCCATTTCAAGCGCTTTTTTAGGACTCTGGCCACTGCCTGGCATGTTACCCTCTGAGTGCTGTGGGGAATGATCTACCTTTGATCCTGAGTGATCAGGTGCATCATTTGACTTGATTTCGACCTCATGGACAACATCTTCACTCTCTCCCTCACTAGACTCGAGATCCCCATCATCAGACTCCATGTGAGCATGGCCTTCCATGCCCAAAGCCCTGATGGTATCCAGGTGCAACATATTGCCCTTTTGGGCATTCCCTCTTATCTCTGCTGGTTTACTAACCATGCCTGCAGGATCTTCTTCTATCCAGATGCGATCTAGGCCTGCTGCTGTGCTTCCCTCATCAAATACTACATCCCAGGATTCAAAGACATGACCAGTGGGCTGGTGTAAGCATAGGTATGCTTTCTTGTTCTCTGCAAAGCCCAGATGAATGCATTCTAAGGACTTTGCATCTAGCTTCTTCCTTTTTTCCTCAGGTATATGTACGTGTGTGGTGCAGCCAAAGGTTCAGATATGGGCCAGCGATGGCTTAATCCCTGTAAAGGCTTCATATGGTGTGACATCCTCGGAGATAGCATGGGTTGGTGATCAGTTGATTAGGTAGGCCACATACTGGATAGCATCTCCCCAATATTTATTTGGCAGTTCAGCATCTTTTAGCATTGCCTGCACACTTTCAACAAGTGTGCAGTTCATCTGCTCGGCAACGCCATTCTCCTGTGGGGTATAGGCATTTGTCTTCTTGTGGTGGACCCCTTTTGACTTGAGGTAGGCCTTGAACTCATCTGAGCCATACTCCCCACCTCCATCACTCTGAAAATAATTTGCTTTTTCGCCAGTCTTGACCTCAGCTCAAGCAAGGTAGTCTTTCACTGAGGGGAAGACTTCGTCCTTGGATTTTATTAGTTTAACCACAAGGTGGTGCGAGCGAGCATCAATGAAGGTTATGAAGTAGCGGTGTCCAGTTCAGGCTGTAGTCTCCATGGGGCCACATACATCAGAGTATGTGTGGTAGAGTACTGTTGGGCTTTCAACGTTTGACCTGATGGGTGTCACCTTACGGTGTTGCTTCCCTTCAAGGCAAGGTTGGCATACAGAATTTGAGTGCTCAGTGCCAGTAAGCTCCATGCCTTCAACCATTCCTGCTTTAACCAGTTTAAGCACAGATTTTGTACTTGCATGCCCAAGTCATCGATGCCACAAGTCAAGTGTGGCTACAGACTTTGGTGCTGCAGCTGCGAGAGCTGAGAAAGTAAGGGTAGGGTCAAGTAGTGGAGATGGTCCTTGTACGACAAGTGCTCCATGACTCGGAGAGTGAGTCCTTGCAGCAAGGATGTAGAGTGAGCCCTGACGACAGCCCACACCTACAGTGTCTGTACCGTCAGTGATTGAGCATGTTCCACCTGTGAAGGTGACCTGGACATTTCTAGTGGCAAGGTATGCCACCAAGAGGAGGTTTGCGCTGAGATCTGGAACAAAATAGACCTTCTGTAGTAGGATTCTACTGGTCTTCCCATTTGGAAGATCCATACGAAGTTCGATCCGTCCAATGGCAGTAGCAGGAATTGTGCTCCCATTTCCAATGACTACAGGCTGCAGGGGTGAGAGCATCTTTAGCGAAGTGAACCATTTCTGCTGACAGCACATATTCACAGAGGCACCAGAGTCAATGACCCAGTGCATGTGTAGGTTCTCGCCATTGTCAGTGGCCATGAAGAGCTGTAGGGCACTGTCTTCAACAGGTGAGATGCGCATGACTTTAGCAACAAGTTTGTCCTCCTTAGGCTTATCCTTTTCAGCCTGTGATGGGGACTTGGCTGCCTCATCAGCCTTCTTCTTGTAGCAGTCATCTTCGACATGGTTCATCTTCTTGCAATAGCCACAAGCCTTTTTCTTTTTCTTGTCATTCCTCTTTCCCTTTTTGTTAGGCATCTTTGTTACAAGGGCAGTTTGTGCTGAAGAGGTGTGGCGAGACTTCTCTTCTATCAAGACTTGGGAAATGACAGAGTCCGAAGTTAGTTTCTCATCAGATGACATGAGTATAGTGCGAAGGGTTGAGTACAAGGTTGGAAGGGAGATGACCATGGCTATGGCAACAAGAGAGTCTTCAAGGGGCTGTCCCAGAGACTTTAGGATTGTTGCCTTCTGCCACATGGCATTAAGCTGTGTCTCCATCAAGATGTCATCTGCTAGGATACCATGAAATAGTTCACCTATAAGGTAGGCAATCGTTTGCTTCCCTTTGCCTTCATAGTGCTCGCATAGCTTTTTCCAGACTTCTGCTGCTGTCGTGGCATGTAGAACACCACTAAGTGGGTCGTCCTTTAGAGTAAGCGTGATTTGAGCCCTTGCTTCTTTATCCTTGTAGTGCCAGTCTGTGCATGCAACTGGATCAGCTGCTGCATCAGGTGCCTTCAACTTTCCTTCTACGAGCTCCCAAAGTCCACAGAAATCTAGGATCATCATAATTCAGTACTTCCACGTCTGGAAGTTTGAACCATTGTCTTCAAGGGACAGTATGTCATAGAGTCGACTGGAGGCTTGAGTAGCTTTACCCCAAGGTGTAGTAGAGGTTACTGTTGAGGCAGAGACCGGGACCTTTGAGGGACTGGAAGTGGATGCTGACAGACCAGACATAGTAGACACTTTGTACCAGACTTGACATGTTCAATTTTCCTAGGATTAGAACTCGCAGGCAGGGCTCATAACCTTTTGGAGGATGACACGCTGCAGGACTGTCAAGTCTATGGAGAGGAATATACTCAGACTTCAAGTTGGTTGAAGCTAAACAATGAACTACCTATGGAGAGGAATATACTGTAGGTAGGTAAGTAAGTGTTCCAATATAATGAATGGAAGGAGTCCCACCTCAGACTTCAAGTTGGTTGAAGCTGAGGTGCAGTAAGGAAAAAATAAACTGCTAAGTGTCCGCTTTTGGATTACATAATGCTGTGCTCGGTGAACCACAACTAAGGTAAAGGTGATAAACTCCAACAAGATTAACCCTTGGGAGTATAACTGTATTGATGTCTTTGTTGAGAAAGCAACTTACTTTCTTGAGAGCAGTTCACTAGGTGCCTTGCACTCATTCTTATCCATCCCATTTCTTGAAATGCCTGGCAAATTCTGGTACATAAAGTGGTGTGATGGTGAGCTCTTGGCATTCAACATCTACATGGCCAACTCAGAACACTGCTGGGCTCTTGTTGGTGGTGATGGTGGTGCCCATGTTTATGGGTCTGAGGACTGGTATGTCATTCATACAACCCAATCTTGAATACAAGTACTAAAACACAGTCCATAGTCTGTTTATTGCATGCAGCCATCAGACACGAGCCTTCCCCCTTGCAATCCAATGTAAAACAAGCTCTGAAACTAGCCACATTGCAAAAACTCTTCAAGCCATCATAGATACACTTCCACACAATGCAGACTACATGCAGATACTTGCAGCATTCAACATTCCATGTGTACAGACATTACTGGAAGATGAAAGTGGTTTTTATGTGATTGTCATTGGTTCACCCCCTGGTATTCATCACACAGCATGAGTCTTTAATCTCATACTATGTAGTTTGTAGCTTGACTTTGTTCAGCAAGAGTGCAATGCATGCTGAAGGGTCATTTAAATACCATGTATGAAGGGAAACTACTTTGTTTTGGACTGCATTAGCCTTCATGATTGTCAAAGGAGTACTGCAACACATGCCACCCATGTTGACATGTGACCAGATAAGTGAAAGTCCCCCTCCAGCCACAGCCAATTCTTTGGCTGAACAGCTCCATTGCTCGCTATCCATTTTGCCTCAATCTCAACAAACTACCTCAATGCCTTTGTGTGCTTCTACATCATCATCTGACCCGACCTTTTTGCATACCTCATCTACATCTCACTCCTCCACTCTGACATCAACTGTCTCATCTAGGTCAGAGGCCATGATCTTTCCCATCATTTATGGTCATGTCTGTAATCTTTGTGGCATCATTTCCAGCAATTATTATCCAACCTCGACTTCACACATCCAGAACCTTGCTCACCCACTTGGTGACCTAGCGGCTTGCTATCTTGCATCCCATGGATATGGCATTGGGGACATCAAACGTATTATCCAGGCACATGAGCATGCACATAACAACAAAGATCTGGTTGTTTTTCTTGCCAGCCAGGGTATGTCTGTTAGTGAAGCAAGATTTTTGTTGCAGCTTGTAGATCTGCAGGATATTGGGCTTAGATAAAACTCTATGCTACTGTTTTGTAAATGACCATTGAATCTATTGCTATAGCATGTGAACCTATGGTAATGGAACTTCGGACGTTGGCACAACGACGAATGGACATCTATCAACAGCACAATGGTGATTGGGGTCTCGCCGAAAGTTTTTTTCAAAAGTAGTAAGTGCTCGGGCGTTCGGTGCTGAGTTCAAAAATTATGTGGCGCGAGTGTCTGGCTTTCCATACAACAATCACGCCGACAAGAGACACGAAGAGCTACAAATACAGTGCATTGTATCGTCATCGTAAGTAGACCAATCATCATCTGCAATGCCTATCAAGTCAGCGCTATCTCTTAAACTGCCCGTCCGATCGAAGCTGGGAATAGCTACTGTACATGATTCTGGGGACCCTCACACCTGGCAGCACACTTCTCGTTTTGCACTGCCATCTCGTAAAGATTTACTGGGGGTGGGCTCTGAAACAAGAAGTACTTCTTGATTCCATACATGATCTGTTTGGTCCCGTAAATAGCATGTGTCTTGGCGGGTATCGAGAAGACTTGATCCAGTTCCTCGAGAGTTTTTCCCTTGGTCTCCCGTACGAACAGGAGGATGAGGACCCAAAGAATCATGCACCATGCCGCATACCACCCAAAAGCACCTTGAGGTTTGAACGCATTTGACATCGAGGGCCACGTGACGGATAGCGTGAAATTCCAGAACCATGTCGTTGCCGTTGCAAAGGACATGCCAATATCTCGAATATACAAGGGGAACGCCTCGGCGGAGTAGACGAATGGAACGGGGCCTTCTCCAGGAGAATAGAATATAGTAAAGAGATCTTGAAGAACGTGAGTTATTGGGATGCCTGTAAATGCCGGGAGCTTACACATTCCTATGGTGACACCCGCAAGCCGTCCATTCTTAGAAGTAATCCAGAAAGCGGAACCGGTTACCAATAAACAGATGGCCATGCACGGGAAAGTGGTCAGGAGTAGATTACGGCGTCCAAAGGTATCAATCTACCGAATGGATCAATGAAACACCATGCAGCTACTTCACAAGTGAACCCACCGTGAAGACAGCGGGGAGAGCGAATAGCCAGTTCAAGGCCCCAAAGCCGAGCGACGCTGCCAGGGCGGCAGGGTCTGAAAAGCCCGACTGGGAGAATATATTTGATGAATAGTATGCTACAAAAACGATGAGACTACGGCCAACAAAGGGTGGAATCAGACGCGCCAATCACGTTTACCCCGCAGAATTGTTGAGCAAACATAACTATCCAACTTGCCAACGCCGCGTTCCTGTTCCGTGGAATCGTGAACATTTCTACCACACGATTCCTGCCTTTTTTCATCTCGTTTTCTGCTTCCAACAAGACATGGATATAATACAAATCACGCGCAGCCTGCACGCGCGAAAAACGAAGGCGACAGAGTTCGTTGAAGGCGTCCTCGTAGCGACCCTTACTGATCAGCCAACGAGGAGACTCTGGTGCAAATGGGGCTTGTAGGCAGACTATCAGCCCAGGGATACCTGCAGCGGCGAGCATCAAGCGCCAGTTGAGACCTTCGATACCACCTCGATTTGGAATATAGTAGAAGGCAAGATCAACCAAAGTGCCCAGAAAGATGCCAAACGCTGTCCACATTTGCCACATCATGACAAGTGCTCCACGGATTGCGGCCGGGGAACATTCTGCAGCATACACTGGGACTGTTGCAGACTTTGGACCAATGCCGATACCAAGGAAAAATCTTGCGATGAAGAGATGCCACCAGCTACCAGTCAAGGCAGACCAGACACAGGTAACGAATGAGATCAAACAAGTGATGAATATGGTCTTCCTCCGTCCAAGCCATTGGTTCATTGGATAGGTCAACCAGCATGAAAATGTTGCGCAGCATCTGGTCCGGGAGCATAAGCGTGTGGGGATGAGAAACGTGTGACCATGGCCTACAGATACGGTGCAGAATTAACGACACCAACCAACCAACTTTCACGACTTGGGAGCGCTAAAGTTTGATTAGGAAGTGGCGGAAAAATGAGGCATAAAACGTACCACTAGCAGAGTAAATACCAAATTGTTTGGCGTACAGTAGTTGAGCGCCATTGACCACAGTTTCATCCATGCCCTGGATTGCAGCAGCCAGTGAGGACATAACAACCACCTGTGTAACGTTAGGTAATTGATGCTGCCGCGTCCGTCAAGCACGAGACCCACGTAGTAGAGCGCGCCAGTTTGAGACCACCTGTGGTGCACCTCGTCCTCCAAACAATTGATATCTGTGTCCGAATAGATACTATAGCGCTTGTAGGCTGTGAACATGCACAGTCAATGACAAGGGAGTAAGGACAACGAAGCATGTAGTCACCTTGAGAGTCCTGGGCGAGAAGAGCACCTTTTTTCAATTCGCCAAGTATATGCATCAACCCCCTTTCTCGAGCGAATATTTCGACCTCCGTCATAAGGTGCTCATGAGCAATACCCCGCAGCGGGTTTTCCAAGTTCAGGGTGACACCTCTGAGCTCCGATCAGACTATGTATCGTCAGCAGAAGGGGTTTCTGGCACGAACCCTATACATCTTGTGCGCCTGCCTGACTGCGGGAAACATCCACGTTGATTGTACATACGCTCGTCATGCGTGACGTCGATACGTGAACCTGAGCCATAGGCGTTGAACATCGTCAGCAGCGACGAGGGGCTCGAGGCATGCAATGGTGAGGTGACACCACGAGAAAGGGAAAGGGACAAGTGAGGCACGCACTATTGCTTATCTGCGGCGTGTATGTTCTCAGAGGGGGTGTACAAAAAGGGAATGGACATCACTCATAAGTGCTAGACCGGGAACGATCCTGATGTATTAAGGCCGAGAACAGCCTCACTAAAACCTGCAGGCAAGCCCGTCCGTAGGTAACGGGGCGATAATCCGATAAATTTACATAACTTACCTGTCTAAACCGTTACAGGTAGTTTTCTTTCGACAAGTTCTTTGGGACACGAGCCGCAAGGGACCTGTACAATGTCTGGTTCAGTTGGAAAGTAGAAATGACGGTGAAATTGACAGCCTGTGTCAAGCCTGTGTACTTGTCAGCAGTCCAAGCGCCCGAGCATGACAGAACGCACAGGAACTTCACATCACAAGTAGATCGGGACAGCATTCCCGCCGCTGAAATATATGCGATTCTGGAATTGGACGTTTCACCACCAGCCGATCAGACTTCCGCTTCGTTGTTCGCATCTCATTAACTCCCATCCAACAGGGAATGAGGACGTCAATACCTACTTTCATCGTGCGCAGGCGCTGCGAGGAAGTATCAGAATGGTTCGTAGCCTTGTCGCTTAAACACTCCTGGTCAAGCGTTCAGGGTGGAGCTCGGGTACCCCAGTACACATGTAGTACAAGTTGAGTAATCCTCGTCGATAGCCTTGTGAGTCGTCGCAATGGGGTGTATTGTATGAGAAGCCTGGGCGCGTCTTTCGCCGCCGCCTTGGCATTGCTGAGGTACATGGAGCATCATGTTGGCAGTGCATATTTCTGATGGCCCCTTGTCTGAGTATGGGCTATGGTGGGAGGAATTGCGTCCCTCCATGTCTACTTACTTGCCTAGCGCACAGATGTTGCCAGCGGGCCGACGGTCGAAATCTGACAAGGCACGTGTTTGCCTCTCACCGAGCAGAGAGTCGCCCGCGATGTCTCTCTTGACTTTCTTCAACCGAACTCAAGCAATTTGAAGTCCTTTCTTTTACCTGCCCAGGTGCGATTCCACAGCATATAGCCAAGTACTGGCTCTTTTTATTGACAAATTTAAGCTCGTTCTGTAGACTTATCATGCCTTCTCGTAAGGCGCATTGCGTTCCAATGCATACCGTCAATATCCTTAGACCCTACAGATAAACAGAATATTAATGACGGTGGACTTGCTATTACCGCTGACATGCAAAGCATACTTGATCAACCGGGGTTCATCAGTTCACAAATGGGCGGCAGCCAGCTTCGACAGATGTTCCAAACAGGTGCGTAGCTTACATTGATTGATGCCTCCCGTTTCCTGGCAGGACTTACCGAAGTTTCTATTGGACTGCTGACTAACCGACTACCCATAGCATGGACCATGCTTGATCTGTCTAAACTTTCGCCGCTCGCGAGGGCATGTATGATGGGACACTCATTGGATGCTGTGAAAGAGGTGAATGGCTGTTGTGATTGTTTTGATATGAGCGTCGACTCACCAACTGCTGAAGGTGTTGTCAGGGGCCGACGCACCGGACATCAAGGGCACAGAGACTCCCTTCCAACTTGGGTACGTTTCTCTAGCAGTGCTTGGAGTCAATAGGCACCATTGCCTCCCTCCCTGCAATCCGGAGCACTTCAAAATCGTGGAATACCTTGTCCAGTCTGGCGCGCCACTTGACGTGCCAGATATCGCTGGTCACACAGCACTCCATCATGCATGTACCCCGCCAGATATCAAACTGCAATTCGCGAAGCTCCTGCTGCAGCGCGGTGCGAATGCAAATCCTCAGAATCTCTATGGCGAAGTTCCACTGTTTTTCGCACTGCAGGGTGGAGATGCAGAGCTCACGGACTTACTTATGGAACACGGAGCAAAAATGGACATCGAGGATGCAAACGGAGATTCACCGAAAAAGATATATGTCGTTTTCGGTGCTGAGGTAACAGCTACGATCAGAAAATGGGAGAGAAAGCAAGCAGGGGCGGGACCTGCACCGTGCGAAGCGAGGAAGCGGTGTGAAAACTGTCGTACCGAGCAAAGCGGTCTAAGACAATGCGCAAGATGTCACACGGTCCGTTACTGCTCCGTTGAATGCCAAAGTGAGATACTTGTTTTCTCTCTACAAGTTCGATTCATGTAGGCCACGAAGGAGCGCACTGGTCTACTCATCGGCCCAATTGTCATGCTTTCTCGCCATCGACGACTGTTACTTTAAAGCCTCAGTTCTACGACGATACGGTGGCCTACTCAACAGCTGATTTCGCGCGGGGGTGCCTTGGTCTGTCGAGAAGTGGAAAAAGCGCAGAAAGACCTGGGACTCAAATGCTATCGTCCGAAAACCGACGTATGATCATCAAGATCCAGGTTCCATTGTCGTCTACAACAGGTCTACTGATCTATAATCGGCAGCGGGACTTCACATGCATTGTTCACAGAAACACAGGTCCTGAGGCATACGATACTATCGCGCAGACTGTGAGGAGCAAAGGTGTAGGTGGGACGAATGGTCACAAGGCATATTTCGCAGCCGAATTGAGAAGGAGAGATGAGCTCGTGGTGAAGGTGTCGGAGGTACTTGCCGAGCAGCCGTTCTGAATGATCCAAGTAGGTTCATTTTTCTCTTGTGGGTTATGGCATCACACAAAGGAAGCCTGATCATGGGACTAGCGGTACTTACTGTAGGCCGACTTGAAATCGGGTGCTTATGTAATTATGATAGTGTGGTAGTACCCCGGTTGATTCTGCATCCCAACGCTGAGCTTCTGTTGCAAGACGAAGCCTGTGCATGTACATTCAGTGCATACATCTACACAGAACAGATGTTATGTTGAGCAGCGTGCTCATTCGAAGCGAGCAGGGGATTGTCTCGCATTAGGTGTACCCTAACCCTGACTCCAGGCCTTCCTCCGCACGTCCACCACGAGATACTACTGCCACACACGGGGATCGTATTTGAAAGACGGTCAGCGCACGCCTTTCCAGGGTTCCGGTGGCATACGAACTCGCGCTCAAAGAGAAGAATTGGACTTACCTCAACCACGATAATTAAGAACGAGTGGACTCTGTCCATGTCGGATGGCGAAAACGAGTCAGCGGTGTACGTTCTTTCGCCATGCTTCTATTAACGTGAGTTCTTCCTTATACAGTTGCACCGCAAACGTCGACCTATTAGAAGTGAACAGCCTCAAGGCCGAACCAGACGTATATGAACTCAGGGTAGTGCGTGCTGTTTCATTGCCTCTCACGTCTAGTTCCCTAAGGTTGCCCATCCGTTTGCTACCTGGCCGCTGAACGAGCTCGCCCTTCAAATAAATACATATGACATTGCAGTACAAAGTCACGCATGTTTTTTGTCCTCTGCAACTTCCCAACGGAGATGACCATTCTCACTCCAATGATCTTGCTCTATCCGAAGCAGTACGCGACTCGGCATTCGAGTTTGATAGGAACCTCGATCGTCCTGCAAAAACTCATTGGGAATGCACGAAGAAGTTGTTGAGAAATCTCTGCGAGGCGATTTGTTTTCATCAGTTAGAAGAAAGTTGTGTGGCGTCCCAGCTGGAATCTATGACAGCAGGAGGTATGTACTGTATGTCGCAAGGCATCTTTTTGCTCGTGCTGACTCCGTTATATAGATGTTGTCAGCTATCTTATCCGCGCTCAGAACGCGGCTGTTGTGTTTCGACGAGGTGCAGAGGAAACCATCGCGGAAACATTTGAAGTGTCCCCCACTGCGGCGGCGGTCATGGGTTCCTGCGGTAAACTTGTGTGTTCATACCCAGGCCCGGCGATTGCCGTTCCAAACGTGGTTTTTGACGACGCTGTATTCCGCCTCGAACTTGCTCATTTCCTCTGCGAGATGGACAAAGACAGTCTTGACGCGGCTCCCACCACCTGCAAGGCGGGTTCCATGGTTTCCGAGGAACGGGATACAGTGCACCCTCGCTATATAACGGAGCTGCTGACTGGCATCTTACGAGCTGTTGGCAAGCCTGCCGATGTGCAGCGAATCAATAAACGTATTGGTGATGACGTCGTATGGCACGATGCTCGTCTCCCTTGGCGCCGCTCTTCACTCTGGCTGATGATCAGAGTCGTATTGCAAACTACGCTTTCAGGAAATGACCTTGGATTAGACGGCGGATACAAGCAATTCATGTTATTCTTTATGAACAGACTCGCCGGCGAAGCTCTGCATGCCAGAATGTCCGATGGCGTCTTGCACTGGATATCTGCCAAAATTAGTCGCCGCCTGACGAAGTTGGGAGAGTCAGCCCCAATTTGGTTGTCAGCCGCCGTGCTAGAGACATGCACGAGCGTTCGCAATCTACTGGATGAAAGGTGGAGGCAAGTGCAGGAACGCGATGCCTTTACGCCAACGTGGAATCCCCAATCCCTTAACTTCCGGACTGACACCCAGCTCTCGCTACTTGATAGTCACGAATATATCAGTAACGTCTTGAATCCAAGCGGCTCCACTTCGCGTCCCGCCGGTTTTGTGACCGGCGGCCACTTACGTGGTAGTTTGGAAAACTTTCTGTCGACAACTGGCGACTTCTTCCGGGATACCTACAAAGCGGACCCTCGTTTGACACTCTACGATGTAGAACGCGAGGTTAGCCATAGCATTGATGATTGGGTTGCCGGGGCCTTGGAAGATGACGCCGATGCAGCATGCGCGAAGCTGGAGCTCCTAGCCAGCATGTATTCGTCGGCAGCTAGTGAAACCTACAAAGGCAATCCAGAAGACTTCTCACGAATGTTTCTTACCGTTATCGAATTATGGGTTGCAATCGACAAACTCGTCATGCGGCAAATTCCCATGCTCCTTGAATACTCCCCTGAAATACCTATCTCTCTTCTGGAGCAATTACTCCTTCGAGATGCGCACGACATTCAGCGGCTTTGCCTCGCATCTGATTACATTCGCAAACGTCACTCCGAAGCAATAAATGGGCGGTCTGTATTCTCGGACCGGGCGGACTGTAGCAACTTCGCAGTGCGCTATTTCCAACAAGGTTCTCACTTGCAAGCCTTGAGGGACCGCATCGTCGACGCCGCTCGTCAGGACCGTCGGGAAAAGGTTAATGAGCTCAGGCGGTCGGTCGAGCGCTACTACAATATCATAGGGCGGGCTGCAGGCATGAATCATGAATACTCTGTTGATCATCGTGGGAGGAGCTACCACAGTTATGATTGCAGGAAGTGTCGTCTTGAAGCCGAGTCGAAAATCGGGATCACGGTACACGAATGGCCCCTCCCGGAGGATTTTTATCGTGTCGCAGTAGTTGTCTTTGAGCTAAATCGCCCGCCTGCTTTCGATTTGTGGCGTTCGGTCATTTGTATCCTTCTTATTGATATCTGCTCTCCGCAGCTGACGCGGGGATATCCTCATACTTGTCTAGAAGGATATTTTTCGCTAGGCTCCTACTACACCGAACACGCGAGGACTCGTGTCACGCTGGCTTCCGACACGAAACCCTTCATACACTCTCACTACCGGGCAACCTATGTACCAACCGATGAGAGCACAGTCTGCGTCAACAACGGACTTAACTTTTACTACTACGACAAACGTTCCCATGTCTCTGTCACTGACGCCTTCGGCACCGTGGATATATCTAGCCCTTGTTCCCATCAGCTCCCACCAGGTCCGTATCAAAACTTACAGGACTACCTTCGGTATACAGCGCACACCTCAAATCAGGTGTTGTGCAGCCAGGCCAACTGTGACAAAGAGCTTTCTATTCACGAGTTCATAGCGTATGGCCATCTACGCAGTGGTCCCTCTTTGCAGTGGCTCAATATCTTGCGGGAGATTCGTGCCAATACATTGACCCTCCGTCGTGACGAAGTCCACATGCTGTTCGCTCAGGCAGTTAGCCAAGTTGGACCAATATCAGATGATAGGAAGTTGGTATGGCATGTTGAGCTGCAACATACGCATTTCCGTCACTCGTTCCTGGGCGAACTTGAAACCCTTGTGTCGACTGTGTCGGGAAACTGGTTGGAGGGTACGACAATGGATACAGTTTCATTTGTGGTCGCTAGGATGCTTTCTGCGAGACCTGCAGTCCAAGACCATAGCTATCATCGAGCTCTCGAGCTACTCCGCACCGTTCGGGAGAAGACGTTCACTTGGGTACTGGAACTCTTTCACAAACTGGAGCAGACCACGTGCGAGGTTGAGAAGGAACAACTTCGAGGACGCCTTCGTGACTCGGCAGCCATCTGCCGTAGCACTTTTGATGTGGGTCCTGACGACATAACTAAGCTTCTCGACTCTACCAGAGCTCTGGAGATTCTACTGTGCTGTGCGGTGGTCATCAATAACAACACCCCTCCGCAGTTCAGTGCCCTTCATGGCATGTCAAGGCTCCTTATGGAACGTGACTGTCGCCTATCATGGAAACTGGAGGAACTTGTGGGCACTATGATCCTAGAGGGGAATGATGGCATTGATCTCGGGATTAAACACTTATGGCCAGGGTACCGCAGAGGCCCGCAATGGCAAAAAGCGGGCACTGGTAATTGTAGTTGGTTCACCACCAATACGACCAGCTCCGAAGCCCAGCATTCACAACAAGTGCACTTCGATATCCTCAACGGTACTTTATTGGTGGACGGGCGGCCGATGGGAAGACTACCGGATGAGATCAGGACAGATCCGATTTTTACCTTGCTTTTTGGTGCTGTATGTGTGTTGACACTGATCTATTTCGTAAACTGACTTTCAGCAGCAAGCACCGGACGTCCTTCCAGGTGATATGGCAGGAATGGACTACGTCACTCGCGGTTTGATTGACGAATATCGGGTAGGTTTCCGTGTCGATTTGTATCTACAGAGAGCTAAGATTGGTTCTGTAGGTTTACTTCCGAATGGGATCGAATGGGTTGATAATTCAGGCCCAAAAAGAAGCTGACCCGGACGTTTTCGAATTAATTCCTCTTCAGAAGTTGGCATCCGATCTCCCCACTGCACTGGTTGAGAACCACGTGCACTGGATCAATCTTACGACTCACACGATAGAAGTTCGCCCTATAGAGAATTTGTGGGGGTCGTCACCCGACAACTGGACGCTTCACTTTTCACCTGGATGTCATTCGATGATTAGAGGAGATGCCGCATTCTTTGATGTTCGCAGTGAAACCTGGCGGATGTTGTCTGAGCGACTTCAACCTTTAGAAAATCCCCGGAACATCATTATCACGCTAGAAAATTCAAGGGTGTCTGTCAACTTACCACGCTACGGTCTTTCTTTCTTCGTTAACGATGACTGGGAGTTGGAGTGCTGTAATCCTCGTGGAATGGTGTACGACGAAAGCCAATCTGCGGGAACGTTGATCGGGCTAGCAAACAAGCTGGTTTTGCGACCTAAGGCCAATTTAGTTGATGAAGGCGTCCAGCGACTCTTGCTTATACCAGAAGGGAATGTGTCATTCGCGAGGCAAGGCGATCATGTGAAGGTCACGGTCAATATATCGGGTCCTGCGAACAAGCGGTTCCTTTGCCAAATATTCCGGATTGATACCAACTTTGGATGTCTAGTTGACAATGCTAGTGGTAGCCTTGCGAGCAATCTTTATAGGGCCTACCTGCACGCACTGACCAGCAAACCGTGTTCAGTGGACCCTCTAACGCAAAGAACTGGTACAGAGGAAGCGTTATCTATTTTGCACTCTGCTGCATGCCGGTCGTTTATGAAGATCGATACTCGCTGCGCCAAGCTTCTGTGTCACATTGCAGCACTGACCACTCCTCGAACGTGGTACCCCAAACATCTAAAGTGCATGCAAACTGTGCATTGGCTGGCGGGACTTCCGGCTGCATCTCAGCACCATGGCCTTTACCTTGCTTGCTCGTCTATCAAAGAGATCGAGATTCTGCAACAACTACATGACTTTCCTGATGGTCAATCTACTTCGCTCTTCAAAGACTTCCCATCCTGTGACGACCACCTACTTCGTCGTGTTGCAATCAGAGCTGTGGCACTTTACCCACCAATGTCGGATAATCCCCTTCCAGGTGGTGGATCCGACTCCGTTTACGAAGCAAGGGATGTACGGATATCATCTGCTGACGTACTCCGTGCATACAGCACTGCGCTTGCTGTCTACAATTGGTCAGCTCAGAAACGTCTAATGAATAACATCCAAGCCTTACTTGAGTCTTGGAACACCACTGTGGGAGGTGTTTCGCGAGCATTCTCGTTGCGTTACGACAGAAACTGGTTATCCCACGACCTACCGCAGATCTGGCTTCCATTGTATGATAGCTGTCGTAGGAGCCAGGCGTCGCGCCATCGTTTTCAACTCATATTTTCCCTGTCCGCCATGGCATATGCCTCTCCGAAGCTCGAAGACATTGTCGGTACATTACTGGCCTTCGCAACAATGCCTCAATTCAAGAATGAAAATCCACCTGACTATCCCATCTACAACCTTTCTGATGGTTACACACCTTCGCAACGTGCGTTGAATGAGCTCGTTTCCCAGCGGGAAAAGCCGTACAACTACAGCCTAAGTCCAGAGGAGTACAGGGAGCGGCTCCAGCGGGAAAAGAGTGAAGTAATTGCGAAGACGATTGCTGCATGGCCCTCTTTGAACCCCCCTCCATGCCGCAACCTCTTTTGGTATGATACTGCCGCATTGGACCGTGGTCTCTGCGAATTGTTTGCGAGTTGTTACCGCAACATGGAGTTGAAGAATCACCTGAATCGCGTTGAGTCAATTCTTGGCCAAAAACCTTCCCACCCGTTTATGGGACCCCTTGATCCGACCTCGCTCGCTAACCGATCATTGGAATATCTCTTCACTCTATCTTTGAAAGGTCACAACCCAATCCACGGGGCCATGACTCTCGATGACCTTTTTCAACGAGCTGCGCTTGCTGTACCCCCGCCCCCGAAGTTGGAACTCAACCTAACCCTTTCTCGGTCTCAAACTTGGTATTTATCCTTTTATACTATGCGAATGCGTCATCCTGAATCTTACTTTTTTCAGCGGACCTAGCCAAATGAGCCAGTTGATTGACGACCTCCGCAGGAATGCAAACTCGGCGTTTCAACTTATGTACGCAGATGGGCTCCAACGGAGTGCGGACCATCTTAGTCATGATCAGACGACCCTGGAAGTAGATGCTGCCGAAGTTGAACACTTCGTGAAGCTACTCAGAGGACATTACAAGGATAGCAGGAAAATATACATGTCCACCCTAAGGTCGCTTGTGGCATACTTGGGTCCACAAACGACAAGCGAGCGCGCGGTCTACAGCTCAGGTCAGTGGCCACGCGTCACAGCAAAGGTTCTCTTTGGTTGCCTCTCATCAACATCGCAAATTCGATTGTCTCGTGACTGGCGAGTTTGTTTAATAGCATTCACGAAGCTTGCACTAGAGTACCAGCGCACTCGCCGAATGCTTGCTTTGGCAAAGAATGGCCGAGCCGAAGATTTACACAAGGAAATAGAGAACACCGGTTGCAATGGTTGGGAGGCAGAGTCGTATGCCGATTGGCTATTAATCCAGGTGCTTTATCTCCTCATCTCTTGTTCTGTGGAAAGTTTATTCACCCCTCCAATTATCGGTTCAGCTGGATGGAGATTTCCTCATCCGTCCTGTCCAAGCAGACGTTGCATCAGAAATGATAGCCCCTCATTCCGGCCAGAACACCGTTTTGCAGTTAAATATGGGCGAAGGGAAGTCATCTGTAATCGTACCGGCAACAGCCTTGGTCCTCGCTGACGGAAACCAACTGGTGAGGGTGGTGGTCCCGAAGGCTCTCGCTTCCCAAATGTTCCATTTACTCGCACATCGTCTTGGTGGACTCGCCAATCGACGAGTCTTTCACTTGCCATTTTCAAGATCCTTGGAAATCGGCCATTGGGGTGCCAGAGCAATCCAGGGAATCCTAGAACAATGTATGCGCGAACGTGGCATCCTCGTAGTGCAACCAGAACATATCCTGTCGTTCAAACTGCTGAGTGTTGAGAAACAGCTAGATGATACCACGGGCATCGCCGAGCAACTATTGCAGACTCAGCGATGGCTTCATTCATACGCTCGTGATATCCTTGATGAAAGTGATGAGATCCTGCACGTTCGAAATCAACTGATCTATGCTATCGGTTCACAGAGACCTCTGGATGGCGCTCCAACTCGGTGGTCGACCGTGCAACAGATACTCCATCTCGCAAAGAAGCATGCCCTTTCGCTCCACGCAGATTTCCCGCTCGGTGTGGAATACGAACAATATCACCGTCGCAGTGGCGCTTTCCCTCACATCCGTATTCTTCATGAAAAGGCAGGCGAAGCGCTCATTTCTAGGATTGCTCAGGACGTCATGGACGGTCGGCTACTCAACTTCAATCAAACGCGTCGAAGCGAGAGGACCGCAATTCATGACTTTATCACCCGCATGGATGTTGCCCCTTCCGAAGTCCAAATGATACGGGACTACTGTGGAGGCACCACCATGTGGATGTCCTTGTTACATTTACGTGGACTTCTAGCGTCTGGGATCTTGTTGTTTGCACTAACGGAGCGACGGTGGCGCGTCGGCTACGGACTTGCACCTCCTCGAACTATGCTGGCCGTCCCTTATCGTGCGAAGGACTTGCCAGCACCGAGAGCAGAATTTGGTCATCCAGATGTTGCCATAGCGCTCACCTGTCTCTCGTACTACTACGGTGGTTTGGATCGGGAGCAGCTGACGTTATGTTTCGAGCGCCTTTTCACGTTAGATAACCCAGACCAGGAATACGAGTCATGGGTCCGCGATTGCCTTGAAGTTCCTGAACACCTCTATCAGATTAGTGGCATCAACACTCAGTCTTTGGATCAGTGGAACTCCTACCTGTTCCCGATATTCTCGTACAACCAATCAACCATAGACTTCTATCTTTCACACGTTGTCTTTCCGAAGGAGGCTAAGGAGTCCCCTTCGAAGTTGTCTAGTTGCGGGTGGGACCTTGCAGAAGCGAGAGAGCACGTAACTACTGGTAAGTGCATAGCTTTAGCCACAAACCCCTTTAATAATTCCTTGGTTAGGGTTTTCTGGGACAAACGATGCCCGCTATCTGCTGCCAACATCCACCAGCCAACGAGATCTTGATCACCAGCGTTCTACCAATGCAAAAGTTCTCGCCTACCTCCTGCGGCCCGAAAACGACGCCTACGTACAAACATCGTGGGCAGATGGTCGGCGACGAACAGCCGGCGAATTTCTTGGGCTTATAGCGGAACAAAAGCCGGAAATACGCGTAATATTGGATGTTGGTGCTCAGGTCCTCGAGCTGCAAAACAACGAACTTGCGGCGCTTTGGCTGGAGTTGAAACCCGATGCGCTTGCCGCGATCTACTTCAACGACAATGATGAGCTGACCGTGCTTTCACGTGAAGGAACCAAGCGATCATTTGCAGAGTCACCGTATGCAAGTCGACTGGACGAATGCATCGTGTATCTTGATGATGCACATACGAGAGGCACCGACATCAAGTTTCCAATCGGGTTCCGTGCAGCGGCAACTCTGGGGCCCAAAGTTACGAAGGACCGCTTGGTTCAAGGTATAACAATGGGATCGGTTGATGACACATGTCACTGATATTGGTGGCAGGGTGTATGCGCATGCGCAAACTTGGACATGGTCACTCTATCATGTTTTTCGGACCTCTAGAGGTCGACAGAAGCATCCGCAAGGCAGCTAGAAAAAATCGTCGAGACAGGATACATCCGGCAGACATCTTGTTATGGGCCATGGGTGAGACGTGCACGGAGATCCAGAATAGTGCTCCCCACTGGGCTCAGCAGGGAAGGGACCACGCTTCGCGGTATTCCGCTTGGTTGGAGTTCTGCAGCAACAAAATAACTTGCGAGGAGCTCGCCGCTGCCTGGCGGCAACCGGATGCAAAAACCTTGGAAGAACTGTACGCGCCGTCCAGTCCTGAGCCGCAACCAACGTTGTCCTTCCCGGCAATCGAACAGCGCTGCCAAGAGCTTGGGGTTTCCTCCTCGACCCATTCGAATATGGATGAGGAACAGGAACGAGAAATTGTACATGAAATAGAACGCGAAATGCAAGTGGAACGACCCCCACCAGCTACCCCAGCGGTGCATCAGGTCTCGGCAGACGTTCGTCATTTCGTGCGCACCGGCATGGTCAACCCTCGATCAAAGGACTTTATTCACATGTTTGACTCATTTCGCGACCCCACAGCACCTCCCCAAGAGAACACCGTGTGGTCCCGACGCATCCTTTCAACTTCTGACTACTCCACTGTGGCACAGGGACGAAGTCAAGTAGGAGTTGGTGAATACCTCCGTCCAGTTAACTGGATACTCTCGAGCCAATCGAGTGGGAACCCTCCTCTCGTCATCCTTAGCCCATTCGAAGTGGATGGGTTATTACCAGACATCAGAAGCAGCGAATCTGTGTGTCTTCATGTCTACACGCCACGAACCCAGGCGAGAATGCGACCGTGTGACGACCTGCGTCTATACACAGTTCCTCCCGCTCACCCCGACTGGGTTGCACCAACCTTACTCGTAAACCAGATCAATCTCTTTGCTGGGCAGCTGTACCTGCGCGACTACAACACATATCTTCGGCTTTGTTACTTTCTCTGCGTTTATGCCGACGGTCTCCACGATGATGAGGATCTGGAGGTTGAGAGCGATGGATTCATAGCTCCCGCACATCGCCCTCTGAAGGCGCGATCAATTGACACTTTCCAGAAGTCTCCACTTGCTTTCCTCAAGTACGTCACTAACCTGCGTAGGAGGGGGATGAACTTCACTGCCACACACATGGGGAAAATTTTGAATGGACGATCGTTGAAGAGAGAAGATTTCGAAGATCAGAGGAAAATTGAAATAGTACGCAGCGGACCGTCTCATGGAGATGCCCGAAATATGCAGGATAATCTGTCTGCTGAAGCTGATTACGCGCTGTTGTTTTTCGCTTTTGATATTGTGGTCCAGTTGCTCCGTATGTGCATTGTACGATAGTGTTCTTGATAGTGTTTGCCAATATTACCAATAGCCCAGGGCTAGCCACCGTGAAAATGCGACCACGTTAGACCCACTCATAATGTGAAACTGGGTGCTTGTTGGTCGTCTACCCTGACACCATTTGGTGTAAGCGTTTTCTACAGTACGACACCGATCGTGAAGGTGACGCCGAGGGAGAGGAGCATCGCGCCATACGACGTCATCACCCATACATTTACTGAATCGCTGGACTTCGGCAGGCTTACCAATGGCCCGCAGGATACCAATCGACAACTCTGTTGTACTTACACCGAGCGTTCGCCATATCTCGTGCAGGGTCCGGGTACGAACACACGAGTTTACCGCAGGAACCGATGATCGGGGTCGCAGTGGAAGACACTTCGAATATGAATCTGCAATAGTTTCCTCTGTGTCCCTTCTGAATGCAATAGTTGCATTCTGAGCATCCCAGATAAGATACGCGGCAAGGGTCTGTACGCCAGAGTCAGCACGAGAAAGGAGCTAGCTTATGACATACATACTCCTACTGTCATAGATTCGACCATTCACATATACACCACCCTGCATCAAGGGATTTGCAAGATGCAGCTGACATCTGGCGGCGGGATACACCCATGGTGAAGTGCTGTGTGAACAGAGATATCTAGGACGCCTTGTGGTGCAGCGCGCCAGCGACTGGAGATGGTATTTCACAGCTCCAAAGTGCTCTGGATTGCAGGGAGGAAAGCACTTGTGACCATTGATATCAAGCATTGTTAGTGACCCATACCAAAGATGGAACGGTGTTGCTGCGCCTTTGATGACCGCCAGCCCTTGACAGCACCTTCAGTGGTTGATCAGTCAATCCGGAGACGCTCCCACGGAACAATCATAACAGCCATGAATCTGATGAGTGTCCGATTGATAAGAAACACGGCCGAGCTAGTTCAACATTCATCCCCAGGTCCCTCATAGGAAGCAACGCCTAGGTTTAACAACTGAAATGGGTATACCGGAACGTATACTTTGCGGTTTGGGATTTGAACAATTTCAATACAATTTCAAGGAGCGATACCGGGGACGGACACTTACCATGAATCAAACTCGGCATGCCGTGTTGCCCCAATGGATATCTCCAACAATCTCCTCCATCTTTGCGAACCTTCCTGTCGATTTTCCAAACCCTCTCAAGGAACTGAGGGGTGGAACATGGCACGCGGTTGGACAGTCACACTGAGTGCCGCTCTATTAGATCGACCAATCACGAGTCAGCTTAACTTCGCCAGCATTAACATCACTGACGTACACTCGGAGGCGGGTTCTCGCCAAGTTCAATCCTCACAAGCGAGGGAGAGGGCGTCTGGAAGCATTACTTTGCACCGCTGATGTATTTGACTGTCAGCCTTTAAACGTGGATCAGCCCGTTGGGCCCAGGCATCGTCTTTGACTCGTAGATGGTGCCTTCGAAAAGCCGAAATTGGACCTCTGCCATGAATACCAGATGAGAGCGAGCATTAAATACGATGAATTATACTATACAATCAACGGTGTGGTGTGGGCCTGCGATGAATCGGGTCCAAAGCTGCCTAGCGATACATGAGTAATCCGGTGTATGGAATCAAGACCAAGTCGTGGCCGTAAGAAATGATATGCTTAGTTGCGGCGATGTTAGTGACTGTATGACGCAATAAGGTTAGGTGTAGCGACGGTGGCAGTGCGATGGACGCGTTCACACCCCGCACGGTCCGTTTTGTTCAAGGCTCTCCGAGCTCCACTACCAAGTCCACGAAGTATGTTTGATCACCGACATTCGGAACTCTCACCTGAATTTTTAGATTCACTCAACAATAGTCGTTTTCATGGATCAGTCTGATGTCACAGCGGCGAAGACACCTCTGGTGGATGTCCTGCTATCTCATCTTCCGAGCGAGTTTTCCGCACTAGGATGCTTGAGCACGGTGTCGTCACGCAGGGACGTGGAGACGCTACTTTCCTTTGCTCTCGGTGGGGACTGTTCCGCAACAGTGTCACCTGAGACACGAAAACATTGGATACAACAGCAACCCGAGGCTATCCGAGCAATCCAATGTATTCGAGGTCTAGACTCAAAGGCTTGCAAACGTCCTCTAGAAGATGGAAGTGCTGACGTGATGCAGAGCTCGAAGAGGCTGCGGACAGAACAAGTTGAGGAGGAGGGGGAGGAGGAGGACGATCCTCCTCTTTTCACTCTGCCAACCATTTCCACGACGTCACCTGTCCGAAAAAAGGTTGACATCACAGTCCACTCACAATCAATCCGATTTGTTAATCCCTCTTCGCGTGTACTTGAAGCATCCATCCCGCTCATGAGTATCACCCGCGCGTTCCTACTTCCCACGCGTGGTAAAGCCAAGGACCACTGGACTGTGGTACTTCTTTGCTCAGACGTGCCACCTGACAAGGGGAAAGCTGGCGCCCCTGCACAACAGCAGGCAAAGCAGAACCAACAAGTCATATTCGGTCTCGACGCGCTAAGTACGGCTCAATTTGCCACGACGTCCTACTCGTTTTTCACAAAAGCGAACGGACATTCTGTGGCTAGTTCGAGGTCTATGACCACTACCACCGATACAGTGGAAAAAGGCTCCGAAACCTGCTCATCTCTCCGTAAACTTCTCTCCTTCCTATCTGTCCCCTTCCTCGAACCTTCCGCCAGTATATTCAAAAGCGCATGTGCGCCTACTAAAGCCGGGAACAGTGCTGCTGGAATTGATGCATATCTATCTGCAAAGCAAGGAACGCTATGGTTTTTCGATTGTGGCATCCTATGGGGAGAGAGTAAGCCCTGTGAATTTTGGGCTGTAGAAGACTTAACAATACGAAATGGGGTCAAGCTATTGAGCGCTACGGGGCGGACGTGTTCGGTTATACTTCGTAGAAGGCGGACTGGGGTTACCAAGGAGAGTGGTAATAGCAGTGATGAAGAAGAGTTTTCTGAGACGGAGTTTGCGATGATTGACGGGAAGGAACAAGATCCTATCTCTGCGTGGGTGAAAGAGCGGGAGGCCATCTTTGGAAGGCCTTCGGGGTCTGCTCCAGACGAAACTTCGGTACGGAAGGGAGAAAACAGAAGCCAGAAGAACGCGGTCGCAAGCACCTCAGTGAACGGGCCCGCATGGGACGATTCCGATTCAGATGACGAGGACTTTTGCTCTGACTCACCAGATAGCGCTAGTGGCGGCTCGACCCCGTCGGATAATTCCAATGACGAGCAGCCTGATGGTAATGCTAGTGATGAGAATGAAGAGAGTGGATATGATGACGACGACGACGACGACGACGAGCAAGAGGAAGCGGACGAAGAACTCGATGTCGCCCGGCACCCTCTATTGCGACCGGGTGCCATGCCCAAGATGTCCAAGTCTGCTGTGAACGCTGTCGTTGACATGGTCAACGAAGAGTTTGGATTTGCAGGGGATAGCGAAGAGGACGAATTACAAGATGATTAGGCTTCGTTCCTTACCGAGACCTCGCTCTCAATGCATTTCAGCCCCTGATATTATTGTACATTCAGATTTTGCACGACATCTGATCTTTCCACTACAAGTAAATACGGCATTGAGAGGAGCTTGCCTGTTCTGACACCTCGGGTGTCAGCAAACTAACGCACTGGCCGATCCAATTATATACAGTGTATCTTGTCTGAGCCGGAGCGGGAGGCATCCTCAAGCCGACTTCACGAAAACCGAGTACCAACCAAGGATACTCTATTTGTTGGAGACAATTCAAACACATGAGTAGAACTATGAGATCTCAAGTCATCTTGCGCGAGCATGCTTTACGGCCAGCGTGAAGTAATACATTGCAGGAATGTCGACTGCCCAGATTCTGAAGGTAAGCAAACCCATGTCATCATAGGGCACGTTCTCCGCGTCCCTCGGACCGAAACAAAAATCCGCAACACAACGCAAAACCTACATGGAGATATCAGTCTGGCGTAGAATTGCTGACCAGCCACTGACCTGAGGAGAAAACACAAGACGCAGGGCAGTAAACACCATCCCTTGCCGATACGACAATCGCGCTTCTGCTGTGGTACCCTTCTTGGCAACGGATGCGCCAAAAATCGCCGTTGCCGCAAGGACGATGTCTGCTACGGCCTTAACCATAACCCAGCGTCTCGTCTGCGACGCTAGGCGCCTGTCTGGTAGCCGACGACGCCTTTCCCCGGGCGGCCATGGGGTGACGGTACCAAGGTCCGTAATTACACTCAAAAGACTTATGGCAGATGATATTGCGGGTATGAGGAAGACAAATGATGGCCGTGTGTGGCGTTTTGGTTTAACACGGGGTAAAAAATCTAGCAGATGGACACCCGAACCCGTCAGTCTCATGGTTCGGGGCACGGTGTAGATGGAGAGATGGAAGTGCCTGCCTCAAGGCCAAGGGTTTGGGATTCCATGGCTCGCGTGCTGGGTACCATGCTAATAACACATGGTGAATGGTGTGGCTTGTGAGCACCCTGGGTTCTCGGGCGTCTACACGACACAGCTCTCCAAGTAGTCAGTTAACCACCAAGACTGCACTGACGAGGAGAGACTTGCCGTTGTTCAGGGAATACTTGGTTGAAGAAAATTTTGAACCGACGGGGCACCTGCGCGCTACAATGTTTGAACTGTGAAATGGGGGATCGCAAGATACGCAGCCTCACAGCGTTCACGTTCAGATGTGGCTGCCACTCATCTCGAGAAATCCTGCGCGCCGTCGAACTTCGCGGTAGTACAATCCACACCACGTTGGTCTTGGTTAGGCTGGTCTCCCAGTGAAGCTCCATACGCCACTGCAGGCGATAGCACGAGAATTAGAAGTAACGGACACCGTCGGCGCAATACTCGCTGAACCACCTGTGACCTGTACCAACATCGATGTCATATCATGTCAATTCATAACCACGGCACTACCACGACAATCATGCTGGTACGTATGCAACCACTGTTCAGTCAGCGAGTAATAAATGTGCGGTAAATCATTGATGTAGTAGCATGCCTGAGCGCCTCCAAAAAACAGAAAAAAGCAGGGACGTCTGCTGTCAAAATCCTGAAAGCATGATACCGAAGGAACAGCCGCAATGCGCCCCTTGTATCCGTGCGCTCGTGAAGAATTTTCCTCGCGCAGCGTCCAATCTGCACACAAAGCCCCAAGGGACATCAGCCCTGTCGAAAATCACGAGGATCCGGGAGAGACTGACATCCAAAGCGACTATGAGATGCCAAGAAGCGAACAGTGCCCCATGTAGATACTTCTGACGTCCCCATCCAGATGCACTCTTCTGTGCGATGCACCCACCAGCAATTGTCGTGACAAGAGCTAGCTCCCCCCTTGATTTCAGCGTGAACCACCGGGCGAACCACGGGACTACTATTCGACGACGGTCGCGCATGCGTAACCACGGTATGAGAGATTGATAGTCGGATATGGCGTGCGCAAGGGTTGCTGCTGAGCATATAACGGGAAAGAAGAGCTTCAGGCTACGGAATGAGCATTCCTGTGCACGGTGTAGCGCGATCTCATAGACGATCTGAGAGAAATCGCTGGAGCATAACTCAACTTCTGTTGTCGTAGATACAGATAGAGGTCAGCTGCCGCCGTTTATGTTTTGGAGACCGTTTCAGACTCGTGGATTGAGCGAGGCGTTATAATATAGTACGTACACGTGGTTAGCTTGGAAACACGCTGGTAACGGCAAGTAACTTCTCTCTGAATTCTCGAGTGTTTGCAACAGTACCCAGAGGCACAGGTCACATACCGAGGGGAGGACGAGATAGAAAAGTTTGAGAACGTCGACGAATCAGTGCCGATATTCAGATAAAACACGACATTTGGTTGCTCGGAATTCGGTGGACGACTGGAATGCGCCTCTCACATCCATTAGGCTGCCCAGCGGTACTTCAGTAGTGTCCCCGTGCATTTGCGCCGCTCAAGGTCGGTTCCGATAGACTATTAGCAGCTGTTAGCAAGACTGAACTTCACCTTGTTTACAAAGTCACTGCAACTTGAAATTCGTTTGGTCTTTTTTCGTTACCCACGAATCTGCATCCCACAGCCTCGATTCAAGTTCAGTCAGGGAAGTTCAGTAGAAGGGAACATGAGCGTGCATCTGGGTGGAGTCCGGCAGGGATTTATGCGCCACCGTAAATTGTCTGAGATAGTTTGGGAATATTATGTGGATAAACAAACGAGCCGATGTGAGATGACTCCAGAGCGCACGGTAATTCTCTAGCACATGTGGACGGACACCTATCAGACACTGCGTCGTAGTGTGATGCAGTGGTGTGCGCTGCCTGCAGCACGCACCGCACCATCACACTACCAAGTGTAAGATCATTTTCTGAGTATCAGTGGTGGAGACATAAAGCGCTCTGCCACATAGTCTGGAGAAAGTCTACCAAATGTAAGCACCGCCACCAGCCAATTTTCCGAGATATACTGACTTTACCATATTCGTGACGAGAGGCACACACAGTCCTCGTACCCTTTGCCAATTGGCATGGAGTTGCGAGAGAATCGTTGCTGGCAGACAAGAACCTCACACTCTGTTCCATGGAACCGTCATTAGGAGACCGAACTGTGTCCGGTACGCTTCACCATGTACCCCCACTGATCAACACCTTTGTGAACAACCCAGCGAGAGACATATCGAAGAGGATTGAGGTCTATGGATTACAAACGACTACCGATCTATTATTTCTACGGCCATCCGTCACTGGGGTCCCCCCGTCCTTTCTAACTACATGATTTCTAGATGGAGACCTTACCTCGGGGCTCATATGGAAGCAAGAGGACTACGAAACCAGCGAACAACAGCAGACTGCCAGCGACGTAAACAGGTACGGCTGTCGACAAGTTAGCGTACAACGCGATAATGGGGGCCTACCACGATTTTCAGCATATGGGACCGACAAATGATGATGGTAAGGCAACTCACCATAATCCCAAATACGCCTTTAGCGGTGGAGGTCAAGCAATTCCCTGTCCCACGGTGTATGGCGGGGAAGATCTCAGATGAAATCGCATACAGTACGCCATACATAATCTGCGTATTAACCCCGTAATCAGCGCAGGGGCACATATGCGACAGGATCATAAGCAGAAAAAAAAAACTCACATTACTGAACAACGCGTAACCGCAATTCCATCCCAGAAGCTCGTTTGACGTCCGGGATGTGGTACTCGCGAAGAGGAAGGTGCCAGTTAGCCCTTTATTTCGCGAGGAGTCGTTGAGTAATGTCATGCGAAACGAGTTTTGTATTACTCGCCTGCAGCGATCGCAAGGGTACCCTTGCGCCCGACGTAGGGGACCTCCACGGCCCAACCAGCGAGGAGGGCTGCAGGAATACCGACGGCGCTAAGGATCACCTGCTATAAGGCCACGGCGAGAGGTAAGATATTTGAGTGAGGGTGACTTTGAAATGCGTACATTACGATACGTGATGTAGAGCGAGCCATCTCCAAATGTGACACCGCGAGTGGTGAGGCTGCAATATATAAATCCACCCATCACCAAAGAGCTAGATTGACAAACAAACCCACATGTATGGCAGGAAGTTATTGTACAGGGTAGATGCAAGACCGATGACACCTAGGGTGGTGTGTCAGCAACATACCTGTGCACCAGCTCACGCAAGGCGCTGCTTACCCCACACCACAATTAACAGACTGGTCGACCACGCCATCTTAGGTGTGGAAAACAAGGCCCTGATATGATCTATGGCGAAGCCCGAGCCTTCGCTGAGGATTCTGCGCCTACCAGTAGAACCAAAAACGTCACGCCCACGGATCTTGCCTGGGGCTTCAAGTTCCTCGACGGTAAGTGGGTTTGGCTTTCCATTACATTCAGCAAGATTGCGGATGACATCCACAGCTTCCGCGTCCTTCCCGATACCAGAGAGGAATCGCGGACTCTCTAGCAAGTTGAACACGAAAAACCGGATACCCCAGAGGAAAAGGGTCAGTCCACCCAGGACGAACAAGAGATAACGCCAGCCCATGTTATCAGATCTATCACAATCAGCGGACGAAGAGCAGCTGTAACCTGCAATAAGAGGCCATGCGATCTTTGTTGATCGGTAAGCTGCCAAGAATGAGGAAGACATGAAGGTGGCCTTACAAGACTTGCCAGAAGCTGTCCGAGGCACCACCAGATGGAAAGGATGGTTAACAAATATTGATGTGAGCCTGGGACGAAGTCTGACAAAGGATGAGAGGTGCATTTCAAAGGAGAAGCGGGACATCCTTACCCAAGAATACGGCGGCGTCAACGGGCATGTTACCTGTCACAGAAGGATTCATAGGAGGACAAGAATCGAATCCACAGAATCCATACCGCCGACTCCAATGCTGACGAATGACATGAAAACTGCGAGAGCAACGAAGCTAGGTGATCCTCCAGCAACTACACCAAATATGCCCGCAATGAGTAGCGTCAAGTTGAACGACCATCTGTGAGATGATGTCAGTACTGTTCGCAGAGGCGCAGCAAAGCGAAGACATATGACTAAACAGACCTCCTTCCCCAGATATCGCACCCGAGCCCCCAGATGAGACCGCCAAAGAACAGCCCGATATTTGACGCCAAAGACAGGAAAGGACCGTTGAACTGGAATTCGTTCACCGCGGGCGTCAGTATAAGTCCGCTCATTGACTGATTGACTGATGATTCAGTGGGTTGCACTATCTGATTCAGCCCTATGAAACTCACAGGCCAGGCACTGTCACTGTGTGCAAAATCATTTACATGAGTAGCAGGAAAGAACAGCGGATTAGCGGAAGACCTACGCAAACCACCCGAAACCGGCAACCACAAACAGACCCCACTTGCAGACGCAGTTGCTAAGTCAGGTAGACATGCACACGACGGAGGTACGCTTACCTGGTACTTGCCCATTCCAATGTCCTGAATCGAACGATTCAAGATTTGAGCTTTCGCATGGTATACCGGGTCGACGTATTCATTTTCGTAGAGATCGAAAGGTGGACCAGTGATTGGGTTCGTTCGTCCATAGGGAAGTACGTCGGGGTGCGGTACGACAGCATCGTCCTTTACTGGGGCCTCAGACATAACTGCGAGTCCACTCGTCTCGTTGACAGTGAAATCCTTGCACAGGTGCGGCGGTGAGAAGCAGTGGGAACCAAACTACCCAAAATTTAAATGTTGCTCGATCGGGGTCTACATTATATTGTGCGCAGATATGAATACATGGCTGACTGAGCAAGTACTGCCCTCGGCCTCAATCCTCATCCTTGCGGCCGATTATGAATCAACCAAACATGTTTTTTTTTTCCACAGGCGTGATTTGGATGTAATGGAGAAGTTTACTGTAAGTCTTAGAACGATCAATGCACGAGAGCCAAGTGTCTGGTGGCAACTGGCACCACACACTTCCCAGTGCCACCATGTGTGGTCGACTGTAAATCCCAACGACAAGCGTTCGTCCGGATGTGCGGCCTGGCGAGACCGAGTGCTAGGAGAAGCATGCTACTAGAAGGTTTCGAAGCCTCAGGCCATATCTCGCAAGATCCTCGGGTCCTTGGACGTTTGCGAAATGGTACGGCGGCTCGTACGTGTGGCAAATATGCTGAGATCTGAGACCCGGTGAAAACCCGTCATATCCATACGTAATTTATTCCGAAAAATTTGAAGGTGGCTGTGCCCACAGCCACTGCAAATTCGCTGACTAAGCGGAAGGCATGCATGCGAGAAAGTGAGGGTCAGGAGACTTGTGGGCTGTGCACAACCCTTGCCTGTACACCTGTACTTAATTCAATGCTACTGGAAGCCACTCTATGTCAGCCATGTAATTATTCACGAAAAAATGGGTATTCTGCGAAGAGACCCGCCCAAATTTGCTAGATGAGTGGTGTTCGGGCGCGGGAAGTGGTCACGTGATCACGCCTCGCGTGTGGCACTTGCGCTTTGGGCTCGGCTGCACACGTGCGAACACGCGCTTGCAAAAAAATTGGCACGGGCCGCCCTCCCGCCTGGGAAAATTTGCTTATCTGGCTGCAAATTTCCCGGTGCTAAGTGACTTAGCACACTTTACAATGGATTTTGCACTTTACATCCCATTCCTGATGCCAATTTCCCACTTTTCATTGGTTAAGAGCATAGATAAACATGTGTAGGACATGAACAGAGTGCCTTGGCACCCTCCCAAGCCATCCTGCCTGAGCCCTGACATTGTGATGCCTGGCAGGGCCAACTCAAACACTCAAACCCCCTCCCTGCCCACCTGCCTGAGGGTGGCCTTTCCTTTTAAGGAAGTTCCCACGGCATCGCCACCTGCAAATTTTTTGAACTAAGTGTGGATACCTACAGTAATGGACCAGCACTTGTGCCAACAAATTTTAGTTGGCTCATATTTCATTACAACACAATATATACATAAATCATGAATGGGGAATACATTATTATATACTTTGGTAACCTCCATATGAATTTTGAAGTACATCAGGAATGTTTTCTGTGCTGTGGAAGGTGGCGAAGTTTTGGTTTCTTATCGCCTCTGCACCACCACTTGTGCCACACCAAAAACAGTAAATCTGTATTATGTAATATATAGCTCTAAGTGACACTGATTATCCCATTGCTGATTATCTAATGTTCATCCTTGCTCTTGCTGCCTTCATCATCATTGACTTCACTCCCATCCCTGCCCTCACCGTTGTCTGTGCTCTTGGCTGTAGGCTTAGTTAAAGGTGTTTCAAGTTTTCCTCGTTTTGGTTGATTCCAATGAGGCTGCCATTTTTCTTCCCACACTAAGTCCCTCTCTGCTTTCCAGCATTCGAGTTCTGCTTGGTATGCCTCATTGTGGGCCTTGTTACACTGTCACCACTCCTTATCTGCCTTTCTCCACACCTCCAGTGCCTCAGCTCAACTTTCCCTCTGCCTTTTCCTGTTTTCTCACTGAACTTCTTCCTCTGCAGCTGCCTTTTCAAACTTGAGAACATGGTTGTAGAATGCATCCCCAGTCAGTAGCCTAGGTAACCCATCACCCATAAGTTTTCCTTTCCATTTTTTCTTCTCCTTCTCCTTTTCTTCCTGGGCAGCTAGTTGACCCATAACTCTGTTGCAGTGCATGGACTGTAGCACAAGCACAGATTGCATCTCAATAGTGGATGCCTTGTATTGGTCTTCCCGAGCAAATGATTAGTGCAAGGCTTCTTGGTACATGTGCTCCAGTTCACTTTCTGGCTCTCGATCTAACAGTGCATGTCTTTGCTTTCAAGTAGGTGTCAATGGTGAGGGCTGGTACATGGGCAGCTGATCTGCTGAGGTAAGGGGTGTTTTGTCCACGAGAAATGATGCTGATGTTGATGTGAGTGCCTCTGTAGCTTCATGAGCCACTAGATGCCACTGTGCATCTGGTGATTCTCCACCTGATGTGTGCTGTTGAAGTTGATATTCATAGATAGCCTTTGATACTGCATGGACAGGACTTGACTGTGGGAGGGGCATGTGGCTGATGGCTGATGTTTCGTAGCTGTGTGCCATCATTTCCGTTGACACAACATTAGGGTTTAGTGGCCAAACCCCGGTCTTCCGGAATGCTGCCTGAATTGTTTCTGGAGTGAGGGCTTTTCAGTGAGCCCTGGAGTAGATGGCCAAGAAGTTTCCCTTTCCAACCTTCTGACATGTGTCTTTCATATACTGATCACATTCAAGGGTCCAGTAATGCTTCAGCACTCTGAAGATACCCACATCTAGCCCTTGATAGATGTGTGTGGTGTGGGCTGGGTAGCAGAGTATGTGAATGTTGTTTTCCCTGGCATAATCTAAGAATTCTTTTGTGTAATGTGAATTGTGTCCATCAATGAGCAGAAGATGGGCATGGCCATTTGCCTTGGCACGGGTTTTCTGATCAAAGTCCTCAATCCAGAGATGCCCAATTACTCCATCTGTCCAGCCTTTTGGGGAGTGCACAATGCTGAGAAGGCTTCAAGTCAGTGTGATGCCACTAGAATAGTCTTTGACAGTACTAACCTTGCATTCAAGGTATTATTTTGGTGCCATTCTGTTGAGAAGTGTTGACCTTTATAAATCACAGTAGGTGGTAACTCCTCTCCATCAGCACAGATTGTCACCATGACAGTAATATTTTCATGATTCCCATCCCGTTGCTGGTGTTGTAGTTTAGCCCCTGCAGGACCCAACACCTGCTCTTTGACCCCTCCACCTGGTTGGAAGCCTGTCTCATCTGCTGCCCATAGGCAATCATGTTTGATTTGGTACATCTCCATTGTATCCCTGAGAAGTTTGAACTATTCCTGGTGTGTGTTTGCATTGACAGCACGACAATGATTGGAATCAAGTGATGAACTCCAGTATCGACCCAACTGGGCTGAATGTCATTCGACAAAGCAATATGTCCAATTCAGGCCAACCCCTGACTCTGGGAATCTCTCTCCAAGGCGTGTATGCAAGATTGTGTTGACATGGAGTCATAGTGAATCGTGATTGAGTGGGAAACCTCATGCTGCATAGTCGAGACAGAATGTGACCATGTTCTTCTCCTCTTCTTCAGTAAGCCAGGCATTCATTTCCATGTTGAACTGATGGGAACTCCTTCCACCCTGCAGTCGTCGCTGTACTGTGTCCCTACTTACCCTTACATATTTCTGTTTCTGTCTCCATTCTTCTTCTACTTTATGGCAGATTGCATGGACACTTGCCCTTTCAGCATCTGGTTTCTCCTCCTCTTCCTTGCATAGCTGAACAGCCTGGGCAATGGCTTCCTCCCACAACTCAGATTGGATCTGCTTCTTCTTTGTCTGAGACAATGCACAGCCTGGCATGCTGGCAGATCAAAAACTTTTCAGCTCTATTGCATGACTTCTTGTGGATGTCGCTTAATTGCTTGTCACCATTTTAAGTTTAGTGCCCTGATAAAGGTGTGATACAAGCATAAAGGACATGCTTCACCAGCATCCCTCTGGCAAGTCTCATGTGTGCAGATCATATGTAGTTGTAGCACATGCTTGTAGGTGATACTGTAATGAACAACATATGACAATTCCAGAGTAGTGTGACAAGTGCTGGTACACCCACCAGTGATATACTCAAAAAACTGCAGATTTTACACTTTGATTTGAGCATTGTGAAACATCCCACAATAAAACAATCCATTTCTTTGTATAACATTGCTCCTTACTATAATATATCATTGCTACATACACTATACAGATGTTTTCATGTGTGTGTGGTGTTGTATTTCATATTGATGCAAGTGCTGGTGGGTGGCACAAGTGCCAGTCCATTACTGTATATGTCCCAACTTTTTCACACACATCATGAGACATTACAATAGTGGTGCTCAAGGTGGCTTTGGAAGTGCCCTGGCAGTGCTCTGGAAGTGCTCTGGAATCACACTCTGGTCAGCTGCTGCTGCTATAAAATTTGACTCTGATGTGCCAGGCCCTGTAGCACTGCTTGACTAGCAATACATGGTAGTTACTTATCCTGGAAGATACATGTCAAATAACTCATTAAACTTGTTGTATTAATGCATTGTACATGATCAATAAACATCTACCCATCATCCAAGAGCTACCAGATGCCCCAGAAATCTGTCCACTGTGATCTGCTCAAACAGCTGGATGAGACTCACCTTCATGTTGCAATAGCAAGGCTTGAAAATGCATGATGTGGAGTTGATGGTAGCAACTTGGAATCTATGTCAACATCACTGAGTTCAGGCTCCAGCAGAGAGTAGTACAGGGTTGAGGGTAATACTAAATTGATATTCTGACTGGAGTTCCCCACAACTCTCTTCTTCATCACTCTGCCATTGTTGGTCACTCTGATCCTGTCAGATTTTGAATCCAGTGCCTCCAATGACACAGACTCCACAGCTGAGCATGATGGGCATTACACTCAGCTGCTAAATGCAATCATTGCTCTCAGAGATGAAGTAGAGCACACAAGTATTCTTGAGAGACCTGAGATGCCAGTGAAGTGGGCATCTCAGCTGTGCCTCCTTGACCATTTCACAGATCATCAACTCCACCTGTTTTGAAAGTGCCTTCATGTAGACCCACCAATTTTTGACTGCATTCTGGATCAGATTAGTGGACATGCAATATTCCAAAGCAATTCTGAAAACTGTCAGCTGGCAGTCACAGTCCAGTTGGAAATCTTCCTTTTCTGTGCAGGGCATTATGGAAATGCAGTGTTGCCTGAGGATGTAGTGCGGTGGGCCAGTGTTAGTGTTGGCTCAGTTGTCAATTGTATGAACCATGTGATGGTAGCTATACTGGATGAGCACAATAGATTCATCAATATTCTGTCTGAAGACTCACAGGAGATGGAGAGAGTGTGGGTTTTCACTGAGTCATGCACCTGTTCAGCCTGGAGGAATGGAGTGTTTGCTGCTGATGGTTTGAGTATTCCCCTCTTTGAGAAACTACATATCTTCAGGGAAATGTTCTATGATAGAAAATCTAGGTATTTGTTGAACTGTCAGGTGTGTACTCAAACACTGAGTGTGAACAGCAGAAGAAACTTACCAAGATAGCTTATTATTTTGCTGCACAATCTTGTTGTGGACTATGGACTTGGACATCCAGGAAGCATCCATGATGTGTGGGCCTTCCAGGGGACTCACATCACTTCAAATTCTATGCAGTTGATTCCATGTGATCATTGGATGGGGGTGGACAGTGCATACCCATCAGAGACATGGTGTGTCATTCCCTTCAAAAAGCCTAAAGGTGGGAGATTATCTTGAGATCAGAATGTGTATAACAAGTACCTTTTGTTGGAGTGAAATGACCCCTGTCCTTACTTGGACTTAGGCATGTGATCATGTTGCTTACATAAGCTGTTAGAGCACACCCATACACTAGTAAAATTTACCTAGTCCCTCAGTAATTCTACATAGGTAGGTTATCCTTACTAACTTGTATAGTTCCCTACAGGTACTATACTCAATAAAGTAGCTTGACAGACTACTGAGGTTCCCTACAGATTCCTCTCTGGGTTTCCCCTCTGCAACCCCACAAACTTCTTCACCTTTCAAAGGTACACACCTAGTTTTGCCATAGTATATGTGCTGACAGCTTTGGAAGATCCATGTATGAGTTGAACACACATTTGCTGCCTTGAAAGGGTGCTTTCAAAGCCTCTGTGAAGTGCACCTGAAAATCTGGACAGAGAAAGATATGAAAGTCACCATTTACTGGGCACTTTGTTGCATCATCCTGCACAACATGATCATCTGGTTTGAAGAGAAAAAGGATGATACAATTGAGCATTCAACTGACTGGGTGGTCAATGAAGGAAGTGGCCTTAATGATGGGGATGGAATTGCTGCAGTGGAGGCTGTGGAGACTATTGGTCAGTGATTTTGAGAGAAGCTGTTGGATCAGTTGTTTCAACATCTCAGACAGGAATGAACCAATTAATGGCAGTTGTGGGAGATGGCAGTATTAGCAAGATGAAAAAAATACATTCACCATGTGTACATCTTGCAAAAGAATAGTGGAAACATGGATATGACACAAGTACATAGTGGGAATGTGCCAGAGATGGATACAGTGGGGAAGTGTGGGGTAAGAACTCAGCCACAACAAGATAAACCTATGCAGCAGGAGGGGTTGTGTCCAAATTGGCCCTCATGAGTTTTGCAAGCTCAATTTTGAGGTGAAGCATCTCTGCTTTGCTGTTGAAGGTGATCTCCTGGGCCTTCATCAGCTGGATGTTGAGTTTCTTTGCCTCCAACTCCAATTCCATCCTAGTTGCCATTTCCACCTGCTCTTTCATCAATTCCTCCTTCCTATGAAGATATTCCATTTTGACCATATAGCATTTAGTCTTCCCAGAAGAAGAAGAAGCCACTAGCAACTTGGCTTCATGACTCAAGTCAATGACCTGGTCTTGAAGCTGAGACTTGCCACATTTAGTTAGTGTTGAACTTGGCTTTGATGATGAGTCCCAGAGGGACTGGCTAGGCTTTCAGGAAGAGCTACCAGAGGAGTCAGATGTTGTTGTAGAGGTGATACTTGCAGATGAAGGAGTAGGGCAAAGATATGGTGAAGACCAAGAGAAGGCAATTTGGCTATCCAATGAGGGCATATGACCCCTTTGCAGGAGGGAGAACCTAGAGGGGAAATGAGAGTCACTTGGCATTGAAGGCCATTGTAACTAGCAATAACTTGTCAGTAAAATTTCATTAACATTGCTCTGAATGAACATGAACATACCTCATCACTCTGCACAGATGCAGAGTCCATGTTGACATCAGGGGACTCATCACCTCTGGTCTGCTCATCCCCAAAACCTGGCATTGCCTCATCAAACCCAGCTCCACCATCTTCTTCACCCTCATTAGTGACTTCACCACCAGCTTGAGATGGCATGTCCTGCCCAGCTTCCTTGAGTTCCCCCACTGTTCCCCCCACACCCATGCAATAACCTGTGATCTCAGCCCCAGAACCCAAAATATTCTTCATATCAAGTGTCTTGTTTTGGATAACTGCTAAGAAGCCCTCTGCATGGTTTTTGTTCAGCTTGGAGTTGAAGGGCTCAGGATCAAATGATGGGTTCCCCTGCCAAATGGAATGTAAGTTGTTATACCAAGGAAAACTGTTGAGAATGACATCTGTATGTACACATAAGCCCCTGCATTCTTGTACATTGGTCATGTAACATACCATGAAGGTTGGTGAATTTTGGATGGCCAGGTATGATGCCTTCCCCAGACTGTTTGAATTGTGCACAGCACCTTTGATAGCTCACTTTCAGCCTAGATGATCAGAGACTCATGTATTGAGACAGTTGCCCATGCTGACTTGAAACTTGGCAGCACTCACTGTGTACATGTCCTTGTAGGCACTGTCATCCTTGAAAACAGCTTGGGCAATCATCACTTGGACCTCCTTGTTGTGGCCCACTGGTCTCTGAGTCAAAGTAGATGATAATGATGGGGGTAAGTTGCCTGAGTTTTTGTGGCTGAAAAGAATCCTGCACTTTGCAGAATGGCTAAGAAGCCACTGGACAATTATTTTGGTATGAGGAGTATCCCAATTGATGTTTTCTGGGTGGGTACTTTCCATCAAGGAGTTGGCTGCCAGCTGCTTGTTGGATGCTGGGCCCTTCCCTTTACTCCCACTCCCAGGTACTTGTGAGGATGATCCACCACCAGTAGTCACAGTTACAGAAAGCCTTCCTCAATGAGCTTGTCCACTTGATGAAGCCATGGGTGTTGATAAGAGTACCTGCAGGTGAGCAGACTGTTGAGGGTGTCATTGATAGGGAGGCATAATTTTCACACTCTGTCATGGCATTGCTCTTGAATTTGCCACTTCCAGAGTGCTTCCAGAGTGCTTCTAAAGCCACCTTGAGTGCCACTAATGTAAGTTAAGGTCCCACTTTCCCACCCTGCCTTCTAATGCATGCTAATGGCAGAAAAGTTTATGAAGATGATGTTATAATGACATAAGAATGATGGTAGGTTTCATCATCACTGCCCAATGTAGTCATTATATTTCCCTTAAAAGGCTATTTAAGGAGAGAGCATTGTAAGGCATTATGACAAGCTCTGTCACCATCAACATGTTGACACTCATTATAATTTCATATTTATCATTATGATGCTACCTTCCACTCTACCAATGTCAACTTGGGTCAATGTAACATTTTTCTCATTCTCATTCTTTCATTCTCATTGTGATTCCAAAACATTTTTTTTTAAAAACATGAGTGTGCATGGCATTGACTACACTGTACTTAACCACATGGATATAGGTCATAGTACCCAAACTTGAGGCTAATATAAGAGGATGAAACAATGATGTGGTGATTCCAAGCAGGTGCAGGGTATCTATCAGGGAATAAGGAGTTCATAGCATGTAGGACTTGAGGAATCTGACATGTTTGATTGGCATTGAGTTAGTGAGCTGTAGTAACTTAAAGCAGCAGTGACCACATACCTGCACTGCCAAGACCTCACTGCAAGTCAGACAAATAGCAATCCTGGACCAGTGCATGGGGGGTTGGTTGGCAGCATGACAAGTGTGCACAACGGCTGGGTATAGGAATACTGGGGATGATTGAAGGGAAAGGAAGTTGGCATCATCATCAGTGTCAGTGGTGATTCCATTTCATCATTTGGGGCAGTGGGGAACTGTCAACATTTAACAAGGGCTAGTTAATAATAATAACTTGATGGCACAATGGTGATGGGTACTTACTGCTGCAATGGTATGGGTGAAACTGCCTGGCAAGTTGGCAGTACAGATGATACCCATGATGACAGTCATGGTAAGGGTGTGGAAGCAAGGAAGCTGTGTGTATATATTTACAGTCCATTGGATTATATAATAATTCCCATTGGCTGGGTTTCAATACCTTACATTGACAGACAAATTGGCTCAACACTTAGTACAAACATTATTGTTGTCTAGTTTGCATAATAAAAATGTATGGTAATCTACATGGGGTGTATGACTATGAAAATGTACTAGTAGATATGTACCAGTCACCTGGGGAGATGTCCAGCAAGAGACATAGGTGCAAACAAGAAAAATCTCAACCCCCATGATCAGGATGTACTGTATCAGCACCCATGGTGAGTTGTGCCATTTCAGGCAGGCCTCAAAGGCAGCCATTATGGAGATGTTGGGCTATATGCAGGAGAAACAGGACCTGGTAGGAATAAACTGCTGCAACCTTGCTAATATACAGAAGACACTTACACTGGGCAGGAGCTGTGAAAGAATCAGCAGTCAATACTGGTGGAACTGAGGTCAGTGTTGTCAATAACTCACAGGCCAGAAAATAACTTGGAGAAGTTGGAATATTTGGGTGAGGAGGGTGACACCAGTGACATGGGTAAGTACTTTGGAGACAGGGGTGACATTTGTGTGGCTGCAGAGCTGTGAGTGATGTAACTACAGATATGACTGAGTTAAATTACTTACAAGCTGGGGGGAGGAGGCAATGAGAAAAGGAATGATCAGTAGAGTGAGTAGGAAAAAAATAAAAGGCCACACTAGGCAAATCTGGCATGAAGTTAGTGACCTGTTTGCTAACAGATAAACATGACTTACATCTTGGAGACAAAGGATGGGCCAGTTGGTGAGTACTGCAGAGATGTGGGATTGAAGGAAGGTGGTTGCAGACTGTACTGTGGACTGGTTGGTGAATAACAGGGAGACATGAGATTGAGAGCAGGTGACATCAGGAAGTATGTTGGAGATGTAGCCCCTTGGCTTCTGTTGTAGAATGGGGATGTTGCATGTACCAACATACAAAATGGTGAGGTCATTCCACTGTATGGAGATTGAGGGACATAAGGCAATGTAGGTGAGTATGCATTGGGAGAGCTCAGACTATGCCCAGGGGGGCTGGTGGGTGACATGTCTCCTGCACCCAAAGGACTCTTCCCATATCCAAGGAACAAAAAGTTGGCAGGATCTTCTCTGCCATTGATGGCAAGGGGTGAGAGGGCCACTGACCTGCCCTTGAAGTTACTCTCTGACCATGCAGGGGAGTTTGTGTCATATGGCATCATCACTACTTGGCTTGGTGTCATACTGCAGTCCATGTGAGCAGTAAGAATATTTTGCACCAGCAGATGATGATTGACAATGGCATCTTTAAGTATGTTGATATCCAGTGTGACATCAAAGGCACCTGTACCCATAGGTGCAAGCTGGCCAAACATAACCTTTTTTGCAATACCATGACAATCATTATTTTCACCAATGGCAGCAGCTTCTGTTGGAATCTCCACCATTTCCTCAAATGAGCAATGCATCAGGGCACCAGTATCAGGATAGTTAATACTGTGACAGGTGATTTCCATGAGCATTCTGCATTGGGTCAGGAGGTCACAGGGCAATGCCAGGTGGTGGTAATTGACATATGAACCATTGAATTTGAAGGCTGCTCACAGTTCCTTCATGATTGTTGCACACATGGCTTCAACTCTAAGTGTGGCAAAGCTCTCAATGCAGTTGTTCAAGTACATGGGACTAAAGCTGATGCCTGGAATGCACATTGCTGCCTTCAAGTTGACACCATCAGTCTCCAAAGCCCACTCCTTCCTTGTCTTGTCTTGATGCTCACCTCATCATTGGCATACATCTTGTAATGCTCCAACAAGAATACTTGGTGAACACCAGATATACTCCAGGTAGTGAAGAGATGCATCTTGAAGCTCTCAGTGATGTGGATGGCAACATATGCCATGGTAATTAGTTTCTGACCAACCATTCTAGCATGATCAAGCACCAAACAAAGCAGCCATGGTGACTGAAGGTGGAGCTTCAACTTGATTTCCTTGTCTGGAATGGCAAAGAAGGATTTGACAAATGTGCAGTGGAGTCTTCTTCAATAATGGTGGACATAGGGTGGGGGTCATACTGGGTCTTGACTGTGGCAGTGACAGTCTGAAGCAATGCACAAGCAAGCTCTTGCTACACATTCTTCACCAACATCCTGTCCTGGGCAATATCCCACTCCAAGTACATGGAAAGCAAGGGTGTTTTGATATTGGTGGAGTTTGTGATCATGGGGAATGGGGCAGGCACATTGTGGGCAGTCCTCAGATTTAGTAAGTGGGGAGGGTTAAAGAGATGAAATGAATGCTGGAGTAGGAAGATAGGGGGAAGTATGTGACTGAGAAGACTGAGTACTAGAATTATACAGTAGCCAGCAAACCAGAGAGTGGGAAAATGAGGGGGTCCCCCCTTGGGCAAAAGCATGTATAGTGGGACTGTGGAATGAATCATGTGCAGTGCAGAAAGTCACAGAGAGTTGGCTGGGTACAGAAAGCAAGTAAGGAAAGGAAAGGAGATAATGGAGAGTACAACTGCACCCACAATGATCCAGGTGACAACAAAAAATGAAGAGACAGGGGGAATGCAAAGGCAGGCAGTCATAAAGTCAGATCTGGATACTGAATATTGACACAACACAAGCATATTTCATTTTTGACATAAGTTCAGTGGTGAGCATACCTAGCATGTAATGAGGAAGTGGAGAGGAAGGAGCCTTGAGATCATCAGCATACAGCAGCAGAGAATTCTGGTATGTATGGCAGTGTCACTCTGTGCATGGGTGTGGTGAATATCATATGGTGACAACTGTATATTGATGGAACAGAGCTCATCAATCTTGAGGAGTCTCAGAGGTCTGATGGTCCAACATCAGACATGAAAGGCAAGCCTGAGGCAATGTTGTAAGTGGGAGTTTTCAATTTCTAGCAGTGAAGATGGTGCATCAAGTACTTATGAGGGGTTTTCCAATCATCTGAACCTGGAAATAGCTGTGTTGGAAGACAAAAACCCTTGATGCCAATGCAGCTTGAGAAAAATTTGATGGGGGAGGAGGAAACCATATGGACCTTGATGTTGGGCCAGGGGAGGATGGTAGTGCTACACTGGTGCACATTGCATGAAGTGAAGGGTAAGACACAGTCCTTGTGTGGCAAAAGTGTTGGGTGGCATTGCATTGGTAGAAGATCTCGATAGGGGAGGAGGAACATGGGTGCTGACAAGGCATGCTAAACACACTTAAAGTAATTCAATGTTATTGCTTAGCAACATGTCCATGCTTGACCACAGAATCAATTGTACACACAACAATCTGTATAATACATGACTGTAGACTATTTTAAAGTAACATGGCAGTGTAATACTATGCTGGAGACCACATGCAACAAGCAAAATAGCACCTAAGAACAATGGAGAAACTGCTATGAAAAGATCATAAGCATTGACATTATTTCTTGGTCTTCAAGACCTTTCCAGCATGGGTAGTATTATGTGTGGTGCACTGCAGGGGTTCAGGCAGGTCAACAATTGTTTCACCCTTGGCAGCATGTGAGGATTCTTGTTGTTGGGTGGCTACAGGGGTGATCTTTCTGCAAGAAGTAGGTGCCATGGTTTGTTGACTTGAAGCCAAAGACAGTGCAGGTGTAGTGCAGGTGCTGCTTACACTTAACTGACCAACCTCAAGTTGTAGCTGAGAAACCATGGAAACAGAGAGTGTGTTTCCATGACAGCTAGAAGTGGATGAGGATGAGCAGGTAGCCATGTCAAAGCCCCACAGTGAAGCAGAAGGAGGATTCAGGAATGCAGGATTGACAAATGTGTTGACAGTGGGAGAGGTGGGAGCTGTGACATGAGGTGTAGGATTCTTGATTTCAGACAACATCTCATCTTCCTGAGTACATGGCTGGGCAGTGGGAGGAACTGGAGGAACTAATGACACATTCTTTGACTGTGAGTCTTTACCAAACACCTCACAATTCACATGATCAAAAACATGGAGAGCCCAATTGCTTTTCTTTGAAAGCTTTTCAATGTAGAAGTCATGGTCAGAGCTGTACAGAATGTGAGTCTCCCCACTGATGGAAGAGAGCTCTAAATCTGGAGACACTAGAAAATGAGCCTGTAGTAGTCATCAACACTGAGTACCTCTGTGTGAATATATAAAATAAATACCAAAGTTGCTGCACTGGATATCAAACCACTAGTAGCACTGTTTATACCTATATGCTGACCCCTCACTTTTGGTCATCCTTGTTTGTGGTCAGTGAGACTTGCTTTGCCATTGATGAGGGCATGAATTATCTGAAGTGGAGATCAGCCATCATATCATGTGCAAGATAACAATGCACATACAAGGGTGATAGCCAGACTCATGAGAAACTTGCTAGCAACCATGTTGTCATTCTTTTTGAAAAGAATTGGAGCAAGATGCATGTATTCACCAATGCCATCTTTCTTCAGTAGAACCTGAAACTTGGGATCTTCCTTCCTTCCCAAAGGACGGCCAGAAAGGTGGGTGGGGTCAAGCCCATATGGTGCAAAAACAATGCCAGCACAATCTTTAATAGCCCTCAGGATGTTGGACTGTTCTTGACTGAGAGCACTCATAAACTAAGATCATCAACTGAGCTGAATGCTAGTTGAAGCATGAAAGCACTTATGATAGATCCAAACTGCTTATAGGTCTCCATGTGCTTATGGAGAGAGCTGGGGACTACACTGTAGAGTTCTGCTACTGCACCATCAAGTTTGGCCTTGGGTGATGTCCAGTGAGTTGGGCTGTGTGGATCAACATCCAGCTTTGGTGTCAGTGGAAAAAGGCCATCTGGGACCCAGAAATTGTAAAGAAGGGCATACTGCTTTGCTTCCTTAGAGATACTGGCATCAATACTCAGGCTTTCTGAAGTCTTGCTCAGAATATGATTGCACTTGTGGGTGGAAAGAGTTGAAGACAGACTATGGAGCTCCTTTTGTACACTGTGTAGCTCAACACATGTCTCAGTGTAAGCTTTCTGACCAATCACAAGGGCCTAATAAGAAACAGAGTGAAGCAGCATCAGTCATGAGTAAGGAAAGAACCAAGTCAATACTCACCTTTTGCAGCTCATGGACTTCAGCAGTTGGCCCTGGATCATGTAAAACCCTTTGCATCTGTTCAAAGTCACTGGCTTCAGAGTTGTCAGTCTCCAAGGAATCATTGTCAGAGTCATTGTCTTCTCTATCAATATTAATCTCCTCATTCAAGAAGAAATCATCATTGCTCAGCTGGGGCATGGGGGATGTGTTTGCACAGCAGACAGAAGAGAATGACAATAAAAGGCACTGGAATGTTGTGAAGACAGGGAGGTTGAGAGGGATGTGGCACCAATGGGTTCAAGATGTGAATCTCACCTCTTTTATAAGCATCACACCCATCACTGTCTGATTCTGGAACTAAAACCAAGCTGCAAGAGTGAGTCACTAGTGTGATCACCACACCATTTCAACATGTTGCATGCTGTAAAAACACTCATTGTGTGCCACATGGATAGAATACACACATAAAGTAGTGCAAGTGGTACTTGAACATTTGATGTGTCCTATGAGATAACTGTTAATGCTATGGGGCAGGGAAACACTTAGCTTTATATCAGATAACTGCACAATGACAATGCCATTGTATCAGTATGCCATAAAGTATGTGTTTACATGCAGTAAAGGCTTGGAGTGAATAGGAAGCAGAATTGAGTCTGTAATATCCTCGCATTCAGCAACTATGTTTGAGATTTCATGCCTAGAGACATATCTCCATCAATATGATTGACAACAAAAAACTTGCTGGGGCATGAAGGGTCAGGAGCTACCACTGCACCACAAAGAATGGATTGAATGGGAATGAATATGGGGTTGTTGTGAGGAGCAGCCTTGATGCAGATAAGCCAGAGATCAATGTCAACTCAATGGGCACCACCAACTTTTGCCATCAGCAGCTGTATGAATGTGAGACTAATAGAGCTAACACCTGGGACATCACAGGTGAAGATAGAAATGAGGTGGAAAAATGCAGTTTCTGTCCCCATGAGTTGAATGAGAGTGCAATCATACTGAGGCTGCCCATAGAATGACAGATTGCATTGCAGATGGTCAGTAACAACTTTCCAATCAACAGATGACTTGTAGTTCACTTTGAGGTATCTGTATTCTGTTATCTACAAGCCAGTGTCACAGGTGTTTGGTGAGGTGGACATGGATACAGCTGATGAATGGAGATGAAGACCATAGCCCTCATGCCTCATGCGAAGACAGACAGCCAGAAATGTCAGCAGTCATCCCTTGCACAAGAACAAGTCATCAGTGCCAGAGAAAAAGAAAAAGAGTGGGTTAAGCGCTGGCTAAAATTCTTAAGTGCCCATGTACAGCATTCCAGTTTTCAACATATCTCCGCCATTTCTGCAGATACAGAGAACATTCCCACACTCGCTTGTAGTGCTCAGCAACACGATCTTACCTTCCAAAATTGGAAAGGATTTGTGCACTCCACACATTTCTACAGTACTTCCTCCAAAAGATGCTCATTTCACTAAATTCTTCTGATATGGCTGCCTCTACATCAGTCATTTCGCTTGTCCCCTTTGCTAGGGACCATGGCTACATATATCTACCAGGAGTTCCTACCAGCTTCTGTCCTGAAGCATCCTGGTACATCCCACCCTCATCTGTGCCCTCTCAGCCCATCCAGCTTGGACAGCATGTTCTTTTTGTCAGTATGACCTCTAGGAGGACATTCTTTGGTCACTTCAGGTCTGTCATTCACTTGGAAAGGTCTTATGTGGTCGTTTCAGTCTCTCCAGTCCAAGAAGCATATGGATCCTTCCTCCCTGCTCCCTGCAATGTCTTCATACTGGTCTTGTCCATCATTCTTCCAAGATTGTGACAGCTACAGTATAATCTACTGTTCCCTACTTTCCCTGATTGCATCCATGATGAGTATGATGCACATCTTGCCTCCTTGTTGCAAGATACAGCAGAAGACACTCCCCCTTCATCCTCTCTTCCAACAGAGCCTCATTCATGAAGTTTTTATTTGCTTCACTGAGAGGATGGTTTGGGGGGAAAAGTTGTGATCCCCTATGCTCCTGTCACCCCACAGACCCCCAAAGCTTGACCCTTGTTGACATCTGACTCACCCTGTCCACTTTTGGATGTACTATATTGGCATCAGATCAGCACTGCCTCTCTGTCATCCCACCTTGGCCTAGAAGTGATCTCTTTGAGATGTGACATGCACAGCCTCCCCCTAATGTGATTCCAGTGCGCTTTCCCAGTTCCTGACATCACTTGACTCATACTTTGATGATCTGACTGTCTTTGACTCACCTGTTGCCAATACTTACCAATCTTTTGACTTTGCTTACTGATTCTTCACTTTTTGGCTTGCTAATCCTTTCCAATGCTTACCAATGCTTTCCAAGATGATTACCCATCACTTACATTCCTTACTCATTGGTTACCAATCACTTACCAAGTGTTTGCACCTTGTTTTCCAAGGGCAACACCCCTGTACTGTATATAAATCACTGTACTTAGATAGCAAAAAAAAGAAGATGTCAGAGAGCCCCTCTTGCTCACATTTTATCATCACTCAGTAATTCATTGAGCAGCTTTGATAGTTGAGACTTTATTAAGGGTCTAACTATTGTCTACTTTGCTTATCCTTGTCTATCATCAATATACTTCACTCCAAGCCCTCCCTGAGCTCAGTGCAGCTTAGGACATTGAATTAAGTCATCATCCATCCTTCTGTAGGCTGACAGCAGTCTACCCTATTGCATTCTCTTGCATTCCTGCTTCTTCTTCATCAGGAGCACCTCCAACCCTCACCACTCATCTTTGAGTGTTGTAGCTCGCAAAAACCCTCCAAAAGAACAGGTTCTACCATCTAGGTACCACATAGGCACACCACCACTTGCTCTTTTTGTCTTTTGTGTTGATTTTGGTTGGTTTTCACCACTGAACCACACTTTGACTCACACTGGGCATTAGTTTAAAGAAGTTCATAAGAAGGTCACTTGCCTCAAAGTGAGCAGGGATAGTGATCCACTTGTCAACTTGATAGCCATATTGAGGGAGGCACTGGTTACAAAAGCCTGACAGTTTCTTGTGAAAACCAACAAAGGCAATGTCAGAGACACTGCAACTGGCCTCAGTGTCCTGTACAGTAGATGATTTGGAAGAGGAACCAAGATAGACATGACCAAATGCCATGAATGATCCAGATTGATCATTGTTGCATTCACCCTCAGTGCCTGCAGGTTCACCTTGCATTTGGGTCCAGTTTTTGTAGTTATCAACACACATTCTGAGCAGCTTGGCAGAAAGCTTATGTTCATCCACATGTAGGATCTGCAGAATATAAAACAGAGTTGCAACATCAAATGAACAAGTGAAATGAACAACAATACCTGATCAGTGAAGTCCCTGCCATTTGATCAACACTCATATGCCTCCTTGATAGGGCCATGCATACTCTCATTCAGGTGCATGCTGTAGTTCCTGGTGGCACCCTTCATCTGGATATCATGTGCTACATGTTTCCAAAGGTGCACCTTTGGAAAGTCCCAGGCCACCCACAGCTCTTCTAACCCAGATTTATTCACACATTCAATGTATGCCTATGAATGAAGTCAGTGTAGGCCAATGTGTGATCTGGAGCCAATGGAAGAAGTCAGCATACCTTCAGTTCATTGTCAAATTTCAGCAACTCTGCATCTATCATTTCTATTGTTTGTTCAGTATGCATGTCCAAACCTATCAAACTGTCCAGCTGGAGATAACTTGTGAGGATGTGGAGAAGACAATAGCCTTTGGGTATGGCTGTCCTGGTAAAAACATTCAGCAATGCATAGAACATTGCCTGTAGCATAGAATAGTAAGCACATGGAATGAAAACAAGACCAGACTTACTTTTGCCAGATCACACATCTTGTTTCCATCTGAAAATGTTACATTGATGACATTCTTGAAGTGAAAGAGGAGCTGCCATTGGGGGAAGTTGGAAACACTACAGAAAGCCCAGGAAGTGATGGCACAAAGTATCAGAAGGAAGACTCACTAGTTCTCAACATTGGTTTCAGCATTGCACCCAAGGACATTCAGAATTCTCAAGATGTCCCATAGTATGTGCTTTCCCCATAGACCACCATGTAGAAAATGTAGGTGGTCAAAGCTGAGTGCACCATAAAGGTCAGAATTGCAGATGAGCCAGAAAACATTCTGTCATTTAAATTAATGTAGGTACAATGCCAGAATAAGGACAAGAATCATAAACTTACATCAATGGGCTGCAACCCAAGTGCCTTAAGCACCTTTTCACCCTCAGTGTGGCTGTGTCTGTAAATGTGCATGGCACACTGTGCCTCATCCATGGAATGAAGTGGATATGTTTTGGAAATATTGTGAAGCTCCCCTAATGGAATGAGACACACTGGGCATGGGCATTTGCCAGTGTGGCCATGGATAAGCAACATCATACATCTGCATTGTGTTTGAGTCTTGAGCAAGGGCTGGGATAAATGAAAGCTTACTGTTCCTTGTAATCTGCAGACAATATCAATATGACAGGAAACAACCAACAGGTTACTTGGTCATGGTGTGACATATGGATATACCCAGTTTTTGAGTGCTGCATAATGTCACTGAGAAGTCTAGAAAATGACTTGTGCCAAACAATGCACTTAAGAGTTATGTATCCTAATTTGCCCTCTTCTTCAGCATCCTTGGGGACCTGCATGCAAAGGAAATATCTGTTTATAAAAGGTGTGAACTTCAGGGCACTGGGACAATGTATGACTGGTAACCATCCAATGATGCAGCCTCCCCCAATTGTGTGGCTATTCTGTATCTCTACTGGGAGGTTCACACAACAGACCACAACAGGATAGCCCTTTGCAGTGCCAAACAATGATAATTTGGTTTTGTTGGTGTAAATAATAAAGGAAAATGGTACAGCATTCAGAACTTCTGGCAAGGAGGACTAGTAGTTACATCAAATTACTGCTACCTAACAAGTTGATGACAAGTACACACTTGAATGTCCCACCAGCTGTTGCCTGTCCAGGGCTCATCATGGAAGCATTCAAATCCATGTCCATCATGCTTGAACAAGCATTGTGCATCCCAAATGAAGTGCAGAGCCAAAATGTCAAGTGCCCATTCCCAGATGGGTCATGTATGTACTTCATATGTCTGCACTTCCTTCTTATATGCCTCAATGACTGTATGTTTGGAGAACTGTAAGTATGATGGAGCAGTTACAGCAAAGTTAGTAAACTGAACATGGTACTAATGTACCAGTGTGAGCTCTGCTGCTGCAGCATCACAGGCTTTTTGAAACTTGACATCATTCTTGAGAGTCACCCAAGCAGCCCCTTTTGCAACATGGCCAATGAGATCTAACAAAGTGTTGGCTTGTTTCCAATTTAGGCTTGCTTCCAGGGCAATCTCCATAAACTCAAAGTTGCCAACACCATAGTTGCTAGGGAGTGTCATCCATTCAAGGAACAAACATCATTGAGCACCTTCAGAACTCATCAAAACTTTGACAAAGCAGAGGCTGGTTGCTGTGTGGATGAAACTCAGTTTTGAATTCTATTACTTGCTGTGATCGCCAGGGGCATGATGACTGGGATTGAGAAGTAGTCAACAATCTTGTGCCCACCATAGCATCCAATAGCACTAAAGAGGCATACTTGTAATCATCAAATAGAAAAAACTAAATGGAGGATCACACCTGGACTTCTGAGAGGTTCATTCTCATGTGCACTGGCAGGGTATTCATGTTCCACAAACTTGTGCAGTGGGCATTGACAATGGGATTTCCTAAGCCAGTTGTGTATTTGGTGGAAGAAGGGGAAGGGAAGCCTTACTTTCATCATCAAATGAGTATATAGATGGGCCAGCCTCATCACCATTGGGAACAGCAATGAAACTGGAAGGGGAACATAACATGTCACATTCTGCATTTTCAGCAGGTGGACCCTGAGCCTTATGCATTTTCTTCATTGTGTGGCATTGTGCTGACTTGGGCATGGCTGTTGGGAAGTGGGACTTAGGACAGGTGATGTAGAATGATGCTCACCTTTTTCAAACCACTCCAAAACTTGGCCATATCATTTGCATTCTTGCTCAGCTTTGGTTTGTTTCCTGCAGCTCACTTCATGCCTCTTGACACCATGTGGCTTGAATGTCTTGTTGCAATATTTGCATATCCAACCTGCTAGAGTCTTTTCAGAATATTTGTACTTCAAGTGGGCCCTTTGAGACAGCCCCATGGTAGCAGTAGTCTGTCAATCATGTCAGGTTAATAGTGAGTAATAGTGGGAAGTTAGTGGGTTCTGCAATGGATTGAAGTGATACACACCTTGAAGGGCAAGGACAGCAGTGCATGATGGTGAAGGGAAAATGATCAGCTTGGAATGCCACTTCACTTACATATATTATAGATGCAGAGTCATTAGGACTATCCTTACAATATCTTCTGATTATCAAAGATTATCACAATGTCATGTGGCCTATTGAAATGATAGGTAAGGTACAGTTATTCTATTAGATTCCATCAGAATGGTATTGTAATGTATGTTATAATGCAATGACACATCATTCAAGGTTGCCAGCATCATAATGGTACTGAACAAATTTGTGATAATTTGTATGGAAAGCTGGACAACCATGCATTGTTTGGCAGGTAGTTTTTGTGCCAATGTTGAATGTGTGGTATGTTTTTCAAAATTTAGAAGTACTGTCAGCAGGGGGACACCAGACACTGTGGTAGTGCAGTCATCAGTCATGCAGTCATGCAGTAGTACAGTCAGTGGGAATGCAGATGACAGATGTGTGGTAAGGCAGATAACAGACATGTGGTAGGGCACATGACTGACAAACAGTAGTACAAATGACCAACAGACAGTAGTACAGATGACTGACATGCAGTGGACATACAGTAGATAGTCAGTTGCTATATACTCAACCCAGGCTATAGTGTCATTTTGGTGCATCAAAGTGTAATAATTGTAGCATTACTGTGATGCAAGACTGTCTAACTCCCTTATACCTGCAGTGATCTATCAACATATGAGTAGTGTTGATCAGGAGTTTCTCCCCACAAATCCCCACAGTTTATTTTCATTACTCCACCGCATTTTATGTAATTACATGAGCATAAAATAGCGCAGCCACTACTCCCAAGACATGTCCTCATTTGGCATGTGCCTGATATCCAACATTCCCACACACTGCCCTCATTGCCCCCAGCCTCCCCATCCTTCCTGGGCTCTTTCCCTGCCCTGTAGGCATTGTATATGATAGTTAATTGTACTATAAGTGTATTAGACCATAAATGATTGCTTTTCTGCCCATCCTAATGGGCCTCAATGATTGCAAAGTGTGATAGTGGCAAAACAGAAAAAGAGAACACTTTTTTGATATATTGGACATATCTGTCTATTTATTGTGCCCCCTTGAAGGGGCAATGTGTCCCTACAAGATATCAAAAGTTGATAGGCTAGGATGAGGTGCTTCAAGTGTAGTGGCACAATTGCCTCCTCCCTGTGTTACACCCTGAAAATATTTTTCAACCCCATGTAGTCCATTTAGTCACAACACATGGGCAGCCTGTGTGCCAAAACACCAACACTTATATAGACCCTGAGATGGGCCTGCCTAAATAGATTAACCAGTACACATGGACAGGCCCAAGAGACTAAAGTGAGAGCAACATATGTACAGGCCTGTAAGTGCATTACCACAACATATGGGAGGGCCTGTGGTGGGTAAGGATGTTGAAACATTTAGATGGGGCCATGACCAATTAAGAATACTGAGCTGTTGTATGACATGGACAGACCTGTCCTGGTAGGTTACACCCCTGTTGCAACATCAAGGTGGGCCTGCCTATCATAACATGGAGAGGGTCACAACATAAGGATGGGCCTGGGAGGAATATCATTTATGGTGTCACAACATATAAATGGGCCTGTTCATAATAAGCCACACCCCTGTCACAACATAAAGACAGGCCCATCAGTAATGTCATTTTATAATGTCACAACATATGGATGGGCCTGTCAATAGTAAGATGTACTGCTGTTGAAACATAAAGATGGGCCCATCACTAATATTGTTTAATAGAGTCACAACATAAGGTCAGGCCCTTCAGTAGTATTATTTATATTGTCACAGCATATGGGCAGGCCTGGCCCCAGTAAGATGTACCCTGTTGAAACATAAAGAAGGGGAGAGCACTGGGGAACTGAAACAATCCTCCAGAGAGTGTGGGAAAAGGTGCAAAAAATTGCAGAGACTTTCAAAACATATCAAAAACATGAAATTGCACACCCTACACAATGTGCAGTATCCAATGGATAGTAGTACTGAGTGTCCCTTGGTGATGGGATATACATACTTTCTCTACTGACAGTGACTGTCTTGCTGTCTTGCTTGCCTTTGCCTGTGAAATGATACCTTTTGGCACTTGAAAGGTCACTATGAGTTGTATTTTCACTTTGTCTACACTGCATGTCTCACAAACCACCATGCACAAACTGCATATACTGCTCACACCACTTTGCATCACCAGTACAACCCCACAGAACACACCATGCATGCCATAAATCACTACCACTACAAAGTGCAGAGCCCCACCTTCTATTCTCAGCAGTCCAGAATCCCTTGGGACAAGTAATTTGTTCCCTTCATTTTATTGTTGTTATCTAAGTTATCTAGCTCATATTATACAGTGAGGGACAAAAGTGTTGCAATTTTTGTGAGGTGTGACTTGCTGCCAATGTAGCTTGGGCTATTCTGCACAGATAATCACAATACCTATACCATTGGAAAGGGGTGACTCTAAGCTTTCCAGAGCACTAGAGTTCAGTCCAAACAAAGCAATACATGCCAAGATACACCCTATTCTTTCTGAAAAGTGCATTGCAACACTTTTGTCCTTGGCTGGTGAAATAGTGAAAAGTGACCTTTTGATGGGATTGAGGGCATGAAGGATGGGAAAATATGATTACATAATAAACTACATGATCTTCTGGATGATTTGTCAGCATGTAAACAATGACAAACATTGGACTTGTACCATTAACCCTCCCTCTTTTACCACAACTCATGAAATCATCTCTTTAGCTCACATGGTCATTTTCTCAAGGAATTCTTATCAAATACTGGTAGCTACCACAGTGCCATCAGTATAACATGCTCTCAGAACCATCAGTCCCTTAAAAAACCTGTTGTCAGTCATTCCCTGGATTGTTTCCCTATCCATGCCTGATGTGTTCTGGGACTAATCAGTAAGGCTAAGAATGCTATGGAGGTCAATCTGGCACTTCAGAACATGATGGACAAACCAGTCCCCTCTCAACCAATGCATTTCTGGCACAGGGACAATGGTATTTGATAAGAATTCCTTGAGAAAATGACCATGTGAGCTAAAGAGATGATTTCATGAGTTGTGGTAAAAGAGGGAGGGTTAATGGTACAAGTCCAATGTTTGTCATTGTTTACATGCTGACAAATCATCCAGAAGATCATGTAGTTTATTATGTAATCATATTTTCCCATCCCTCATGCCCTCAATCCCATCAAAAGGTCACTTTTCACTATTTCACCAGCCAAGGACAAAAGTGTTGCAATGCACTTTTCAGAAAGAATAGGGTGTATCTTGGCATGTATTACTTTGTTTGGACTGAACTCTAGTGCTCTGGAAAGCTTAGAGTCACCCCTTTCCAATGGTATAGGTATTATGATTATCTGTGCAGAATAGCCCAAGCTACATTGGCAGAAAGTCACACCTCACAAACATTGCAACACTTTTGTCCCTCACTGTACAACTACTTGGACTTTCCTTACAACTGGAGCCCACTGGGAGGGATTCTGCTGTTGCTTCCAGAAGGTCACTCAGGTGCACTGCCAAATGCACTGAACTAGAAAATCTATGCCTTCACTTCTGCAACCTGAACCTGTCAGAAGACTATGACCTTATCTGCCTTGTTTTACCCATAACACTGAATCATGCACAATTACCCACTGACATCCTGTGGGTATTACCTGCAATCACTCCTCCTGATATTTTGGCAGATCAGATATCTATCACATTGGATCAGCTAGATCTCAGTTCCCCTGACTTTCCCAGAGGCTTTATCCACTCAACTCCCTGAAGACCCAAAACCCTGCCATCACCTTTAAGACCTGTCACATCACCTGATTCATCATCACCAATGCCCTGTTTTTCCTGTCTCTTTGATGCCTCTGAGTCTATACCCAGAATCCCATCCACACCTGTCACACTGCTGCAACTGCTCATGTGGTTGCAGACCACCCATCAGCCAATTAGTAATCTGCTAATATACCCACCAGTTTGCCCATGCATGATACCACCTACTCCACATCTGCAGCCAATACCTGCTCCTCTTGTTACCAATCCAGCTCTGCTGCCACAAGTAAACCCACCAATGGCTAATCCACAGTTTCAGATTCTGCTCTGTGGTACACAAAATTCACCTAAATTTAGCAGAGACTCCCCCACACAGCTTCCACACTACCTTGAAGACATCAACTTCCTTGGTACTCTTGCTGCTCTTGACAACCATGGCAAGATCAGAGCCACAATCTGCTATGCTAACCTTGAAGAAGCTGAGGTCTGGAAGACACTTCCAGAAGCCACTCCCATGGCTGATGACTGGGATGCCTTCATAGTTGCTTTCAAGGGTTTGTACCCCAGCTGTGAAAGTGATGACTGCTACTGCTACACAGATTTGCAATACCTCATCAAAGAGTATCAGTCAAAGCCCATGCAAAACCAGGATGACCTCAGAGAATACCAGTGGAAATTTGCTAAGATCTCTGCTCTCATTAAAACTAAAATGCTTGCAGAGACAGCACAGGACTCCATGTTCCTTAACAGCTTCCCAAGGGCCATTGCAGATTGTATTCATCACTGGCTCTCCATAGTCCACACCAACCTCCACCCAGATGACCCTTACCTACTCACAGAAGTTGTCCAAGCTGCCAAGTTCCTGTTAACTAGATCCACTCTCTGTAGTGCAGTACTGACCTTAGCAGTTACAGCTCTACCTGCTCCAGCTCTCTTGCCTGCTTACCTCCTGCCAGTGCCACCTGCTGGAACTGTCATCAAGCAAGAATACAGCACCCACTGTGAGTCAAAGTGTGGTTCAGTGGTGAAAACCAACCAAAACCAACACAAAAGACAATGAAAGTGAGTGGTGGTGTGCCTATGTGGTACCTAGATGGCAGAGGGTCTTATGCAGGCAGGTTTTTGCAAGTTACAACACTCAAAGACAAGTGCTGAGGGTTGGGGGTGCTCCTGACAAAGAGGGAGCAGGAATGTGAGAGGATTGCAATGGGGTAGACTGCTGTCAGCCCACAGAAGGATGGATGATGACTTAATTCAATGTCCCAAGCTAATCTGAGCTGCAAGCAGACATTTTCTAGGGTGAGAAAGGTATTGTGAAAGGAATTGAATAGTGGGGGAAATATCAGGGTGATTGCAGACAGAGAGGTAGAGTAACTTGCCTATGAGTTTCAGATACAGGGGCTTCAGGTCAGTGGGCTTGATGAGTTTGGCAGCCTCAACATCAGTGAGGAAGGGATGCACAGAGTCCATGGGCAGGTGTACTGGATGACAGTCCATGAGATCATACTCCTGAAGCAGATGTACAATATATTCTCCCTGATGAAGCCATAGCTTGTGAGTGTGATGATCATATTTGAACTGAATGCCAAGGTACTTGGGGATGGGTCCCATATCTGAGATGCCAAAACAAAGGTGTAGGCAATGCTTGACCTCAGCAAGAATACATTCATTGTTACTACTGCCCAGACCACTGTCAACATGCCAAGTGGCCATGCATACAACCTCAAGTTGACAAAAGATGAAAATTGCATGATCCACCTCACTATGCTTAAAATCTTGGCTCTTGAGCTCAGTGCAAAGTGTTTCATGGAAGTAGTGGGCAGCCTGTTTGATCCCATAAAGTACAGAGTGAAGCAGACTGACCAGCTCCTCACCATTGGGTCTGTACACCTTGTACCCCAGTGGTTGCTTGATGTACACCTTCTTAACCTTCCCATGAAGGAATGCTCACTTGATGTCTATTAAATGCAACTCCCAGACCTCCAGGCTGCAATGACCATGAGGAGTCAGATGCATGTGGTGAGATGTTCCTGTGCTGCCTGGAGAGACTCTGTGAACACCCTTCCTGCCTCAGTCTGTGTCCTGAGCCTTCCAGAGCAGTGTAAATGTGGCATTGGTGACTGTGCAGGGTTGAAAATGATGGGTGCTGATGGTATCAAGGGAACTGATGGAGATAACAAGAGTGATGGGTTCAAGGGCTGTGAGTTGTCTGAGTCCTTGCTGCCTGAGTTAGAGTCACCCCCAGGTGTGCATGACAGCTGATCAAGAGACTCAGTTACAAGGAGCAGCATGTGAATGTTCTCATCAAGGACAACATCTCTGGGGTTAAAAGTTAAAGAAACATTTGGTATCCTCATCATGCACCTGATAGGCCTTTACACCTGGTGGATAACCCATGAGCTGCACTGGTCTGGACCTGGGTCCTAGTTTCCTCTGAAGCTCCAAAGGGACATGTGCAAAGGCTCAACAGCCCCAGACCCACAAGTGTCCAAGGCAAGGGCATGTGGTGTGCAACATCTCATATGGTGTGACCCTATATGGCAAGATGCATGACCCTGTGCAATTGTGGAGATAGCAGGCTGTAAGCATAGCCTCACCCCAGTATGTGGGTGGGAGCCAAGCAAGATGCAGCATGGCCAAAACATGCCCCTCCAATGTATGGATAACTCTCTCAGCAGCCCCATTCTGCTGGTGCATATACAGTGTAGACAAGTAGTGGACAATACCCTGTGAGTTGAGTGACTGGATGAATGCACTGTTAACAAACTCTCCTCCATTGTCTGACTGTAGGGCTTTAACCTTCATGTCATGTTGGCACTCCAAACAAACCTGTGTAGCCTCCTAGGCCTTGAGAGCCTGATCCCTGCTGGTAAGTAGATATGTGTCCAGAATGTGGGTGAAGTCATCCAGAATAACCATGAAGTATAGCTTGCCATGTAGAGAATGAACTGGCATGGATCCCCCTAAATCAGTGTGTACAAGTTCAAGGAAAGTACTTGTGTGAGGACTTGTGGAGGACTTGAACAGTGAACATGTGTGTTTCCCAATGACATGAGACTCACAGACTAACTGGGGGCCAGGGGAATCAACAATGACCCCAGTGGCTATTGACAAGAGCTGCCTTGCAGCCTTTCCTCCAGCATGGCTGATCCATGCCATAGGTCATAAGTGACTGGTGCTCAGGCAAAGGCAGTGAGAGTGGGAGTCATGGTGAGTGGTAGGGGTGCATCAAAATGGACAAATCCAAGGTTTAGAAAACAGCGATTGTTCAACTGAAGGTATATGCTACCCAGTGATCATCCATGGTAAGACAACTTGCAGTGAGGGGGGCTGCTCTGGAAGTTTCATCCCCATCCCTGATGAAGCATCCATCCAATGGAGACAAGATGCAGAACAGCTTGTCAAGCATGCAGGCAGTTGGTAAACTGTACCTGATACTTGTCACTACTGACAGCCAAAAAGGCCAGGCACTCACCATGCCCAGTGGTCAGTAAGCTTCCATGGTTAGCTGTCTGGACATTCACAGAGGTGTCAGGAACATAAGTGCAGAAGAAAGCACAGTCATGAACAAGTGTGTGTGATGTTCCAGAGTCAAGAAGACTGGAGAGTGACAGAGTGCCAAGGCAGGCCTGGAGAGCTGGCAATGGTTCAGAGGTAGGTGCATCACCACCCTTTCTGTTGCTTGTAAGTTTAGTCAAAACTGCAGAGGTGAGATCACCAAGGTGGGTGTTCCAAGGAGAGACAGTGCTATGGTTGAATGCAGCTGCAGCTACTGGAGTGGAGGGGGAACTTGAAGAAGCCAGTGCAGAGGTCACAGCTGCAGAGGTGGGTTTGTCCTTATCTCCCTTCCCCTTCTGCCAAACTGGATGCTGGCCAGCCATGCTGCCTCCAGGCTTGACACAGTGGGCCTGATCATGATTGCTAGCCCTGCAGACAAGACCACCTCCAATTGGAGTGTCACAATAGGTGCCAGAGGGGTTGTTCTGTGTCTTCCTCAGGCCTGTTGCTGGGTTGACATTGGGGGGACCAGAGGGGGAAGTGGCTGCATTAATGTACTCAGACCCCACAGATGACTGAGAGCTGTTATGTTTACCTTGTTTTCACCTGCTGCCTGTCTCATTTATTCTTTTGGACTTACTTTTCCTTTTTCAGCTGTCTTCTTTCTGATCCAACAGCCCCTTGTCTCCACCAGTAGTAGTGTTCAACCCTCATACCTTGTTGTGTATGTGTGTTGCTATTGTTCAACCAATAGTGTATTTTACTTAGTTACATGAGGAGGCCTCATGGTCCTCCTTTGTATGGTATTTAGATCACTGGCTCAAGTCCTAGATTTCCAGACTTGAGCTGCTCAATTATATCCAGCATTCTCAGAACTTCACCCCCAGTGTCTTCTAGAAGGCCACTCTTACTGGTATTGCCAAATCCCTTGTTGTTTACAAGGGTTACTGCAGCTATTCACTTGGTAGAAACCATTAGTCTGTGGACTGAGCTCAAACTATGCTTTGACTTTGGTCTCAGTGTAACAAGAGTGCTGCTGAACAAGACAGTGGGCCTCCACTGCAATCTTAACAGAGACACTTTCAAAGGTTACTGAGGCCGTGGAGAGCACTGCAGGGACAGACAAGCCTGGTGCAGAGGATATGGAGGTAGTGGCCAAGGCCAAGGCAACTGGTGTGATGGAGCATGAGTTCTGCAGGAAGAGGCAAAAGGACAGTCAAGTACCAGTCTCCAGGAGACCCTCTATAAGGTGAAAGATGGCCTCTTCATCAGTGTAGGGCACCCTCATGCAAATGAGGTCTTGATGTGCAGCAGAGTGTTCTGACAAGTAACAGGTTGCATTGCTGGCATCCTTCATTTGCAGATGCAAGATCTTTGCATGAACAAGGTGATGCAATCCAACATCAACATGATCAAAGGTGTCATGAAGGGTCTTCCAAACATCATGGGCAGTAGTGGAACATTCCTGAGGTATAAGGAACAGTACAGTAGGTGAAAAGCAACAACACAAGATATCTTCCATGACAGTGTTGGACTTAGACCATTCAAGGATGGCCTTCTTCTCATCAATGGTAATTTTGGTCAGGTCTGCAGGCCAGGGACATTCTGAAGCATATTCTACAGGGTCCAAGGGGTCCTTTCCATTACTGACATGACTAGATACATCTTCACAATGTAGAGCCAGAAGGACCTGAGTCTTCCAGGCAAAGAAAGTCAAGGCATCTGTCAACTTGGGGATATGATCAAACTTGCCCATGACAAGAGTTGTCTGGAGCACTAGGGGTGTGACTCTGCAATGCAATGAGGCACAAGTGAGACACTGAGTTTAGTCTTTGGACTAGCATTAGGTAAGCAGCACATTTTCTCTTCTTTCCATACCACCACCTCACTCACTGCTCCTTGTTGTCACAGCCTCACCATTCACACTCCTTTCACCCAACTTGTAGTCATTCCTTTGCTCACCACTCTTCCCCTCACAGATATGACCAAACATGGCTGACCCAAACCTTGAGGAACACCCAAACTTCAAATTAGCTGCCTTTTGTGAGGTCTGAGAAGCCATGATGGCAACTCCAGATCTTGACCTGGAACAAGCCATAGGTCATCTCCACACAGCTTGGGACAACAACCACCAGCACAGGGTAGATGAGTGGAATGCCCAATGCCAAGCTGAAGATGAAGAAGCATGGCAAAGGGAAAACTGACCCAGGCCAGCCCCAGACCCAGCACCCAGGCAAGACACAAAGGGCCAGGAGGACAGACACCATAATGCAGAATGCAAATAGCTGACTTCACTGTTGGATGCCCACCCCCCAGTGTCCTAGTCAACAGACCTTCCCAATACACCACCAACAGGCTTGCCTCATGTGACTATGTTGAGCTATGGTACTTCTCCCCCAAAGGGTGCAATGATGTGGCAAAACACTCAAGATCCAATGCCAATGACACCTTTGGCATCTCAAGTGCAAATGACCTACTCACCCTTAGGCCAGTAGTGTCAGTCAAGGCATCACAAAACATGTGCACAGATCATGACTTAACCTTCAGTGAATTTCTACAAGCAAGGGTATCCTTCCTACACCACATAAAAATGGTCCTGTGGCCTGAGAAGGACATCAATGCCCTTGCTATGTTTTTCTGGAATCTTGAAAGCCACCCCCAGTGCTCCACCATGAATGGTGATGCCATTGTCCTAAGCTATGCTTCCCAGATTGACCATCAATGGCACAATGAGCTGAAAGCAAACAACAGCCACATATTCAATATCTCATTTATCAATGACACTCTGATGAACAGCATAGCCTTCAAAGTGAACAATGTGGCCCAGAAGTGGCTTGCTCAAAGGTCAGTCATCTAACCTTTACCTAAAACACACAAAGCTAACCACCCACTCACCCCCCCCTTCTTCCCTAACACCTCACCACTACCAACCCCATCCATCCCCCCTTTCCCTCCCACCAACAACACCCCCCTTCCTCCTTCCCCTGATGGCATGGCCATGCCCCATCAATGTCCATCCTACTCACAACCTCCCTTGCCTCCTGGCCTTTCCACCCACCCTACCCCACTCCCACCACAGGGTTGAAGCATCCTTTAAGGCAAACCCAACATCTCCCCCACAATCCAAATGATCATGACACTATTACCAGTAGCATGTGGAGCCCCAGACATCACAGAGTTGCAACTCACACTCCCAATCCCCCAAACCTTGATTTCATCAACATTCCCAATCCTCCCCATCCAAAACCTTGAGCTTCTTGCCCCCTTCCCACAAGCGGTCCCCAGGACCTGCATCTCAACCAAAATTAGCTTGCCCTATATGCCTTGGATGCCACCCCCACCAGATCCATGAATGCAACAACCCAAACCTATGGGATGGCTCTCCCACTCATGCCAGGTGCACCACAGAAGGCCACATCATTGACAGCAAGGGTTACATCCTATGCAGTAATTGGCAGAAGCCCAACAGTTGCAGCCTCTCACACAAGTCTGCCAAGCATGAGTGCTCCAGGTGTGGGAGTTGTGAACATGGAGCTCAGCAATGCCATCATGCACACAAGCACACAAGCACTAACCCCATACAAGCCTGATGCATGGCACACAGCCTTCACCTCCTATGGCTTATCAGACTGCTACACATACATCATCCAAGGGATGTGTCACAGCTTCTCCACCAACATACCCCCCCTCCCTCATACATACACCTCCCCAAACAGCCACACCACCCTAGAGCACCAAGCAGCATTCAGCAAAGGTAGATACCTCAGACCATACACCACACCAGAGATCCAGAGCAGCCTTGGCAACTTCCAATCCTCCCCAATATCCATTATACCCAAACCAGGTAGGCCTGGCCACTACTGCCTAATCCAAAGCCTATCCTTCCTGCATGCCCCATCCTCCTCTCCTCCTTCCATCAACTTGTACATCAATATCAATCTCTACCCAACATCATACAGTATATTTTCCATAGTAGCTGCTCTCATATTATGCCTACCCCCAGGATCCCAGGGCACTGTCAGGGAACTGGCTCTTCATTCAAAATCTACTTTGCAACCACCCTTAGCTCTGCTCACTGTACCCACAAGGACTCAACAGTGTGACTTTGGTTGGCCAAGGCCAGTGTCCTGCTGCTAGTGAAGTTAAATTACATGTCACTTCTCATGCAGTCACATGCTTGTGCTACATTGCACTTGATTCATGATGCAATATGAGTCATCAGTATAACAGAAGATTTCAATTTTGAATCACCCAGTCACATCAAAGACCAGACTACATATCAGATACCATGCTCTGGAATCCTCACTAGGCAAAATAACCTGCAAAATGAGCACCTCCCACCACTACCACAGGAACCACCAGTGTTAATCACCAGTGAGCTAGCCCCTAACTTTTGGTGCTAACCTTCCTCTTCATCAATGCATCTTTGCACCAAGGAGAAGGAAGTAAGAGGCCTCCATCAACAGCCTCTTCATTCAAACCCCCTGTACCATCTCATAAAGGAAAGGAAATGGTACAAGCTAGACCACTCATCTGCCATCCTTCTGTCCAAACTCCAAATCCTCATATAGGTTTTGAAGACCTGCCAGTAAGACCCCAACTAGGGCAAGTGGCAGAATTGACCTCACCAATTGACTTTAAAACTTACTGCAACCTGAAGCCTATTGCCTCAGATATTGACACACAACCACAAGGGACAGCTGGATCAGTGGACCTCTCTTTGTCTTCATCTACCAACATATACTTACCAACTTCTACCAATCCAATGGCTGAAGAACTCACTCAACAAGCTACTGGACTTAATATCCAGGTCCCCTTTGCTGAACAGAGTAGGGTAACCCCTGAAATGACTGCACAATTCTACAAGAGTCTCTTCAACAGAGACATATGACCTGAGCCTTGTAGAGGCCCACCACAAGGTTCCAACAGAGAAAGAAAGGAACACAACTCTAGAGGGGGGTAGTATGAAGGAAATCAGGTTGAACAAACCATTCTCTTATAATGGAGCTCACCAGGATTTTTCCACCTGATTAAGCAATGTCAAACTCTACCTCACTGTAAATGACCACATCTACTATGAGGACCAATCCAAGATCATGTTTGCCCTCTCTTACATGGGGAGTGGCTCAGCTCATGCCTTTGCAGAAGCATATGTCAATGAGAACACTACCATGCTTGGAGACCTCAAAATATTTGATGGATGGGATGAGTTTGTCACAAAGTTGATGGAAACCTTCCAAGTAGGAGATGCCAAGTCTACAGTGCTGATCTACCTCTCCACTATCCACAAAGGAGACCACTCACTCAAAGAGTATATTGCTGACTTCTGCAACTGCCTCAACAAGGCCCAGATCTCTACCAAAGACTTGACTGCAGCAGTCTTCTTTGGGAAAGGCCTTAACAAAGAAATAAACAAGTGGATCCTTATGGCTGGCCCCAAACCAGACACCATTGAAGACTGAATCCACCAAGCAAAGGCAGCTCAGTTGGCTATGGCAACCCTCAAGGTCTTCCCTGGAAAAGCTATGCACCAAGACTGCTCCTATCTTTGGAAACTGTTATGCCAACAACTCATATTGCATCATGAATTGAGTGTGTTAACACAAGCACATGACTGTGTGAGAAGTGACATGTAATTTAACTTCACAAGTGACAGGACACTAGTTTTGGCCAACCAAAGTCATACTGTTGAGTCCTCATGGGTACAGCAAGCAGAGCTAAGGGTGGTTGCAAAGTAGATTTTCAAATGAGGGAGCGGTACAGTACATGCAGGTTTATATACATATGTAGAGTACCTGCAGGCCAAACATTCAAAAATGTTTATATGTACACCTGAGTTCCTATCAAGGCATTGTCAAGTCATAGTGCATCATGTGCAGCATGTTTGCACATATAACTGAGTCTGTGGAGCAGAGGGAACCAGGGATGAATGCAGGGCAAAGGGGAAGTAACTACATATATGACATACAGGGGTGAATGAGTACCAGGGGTACACATGTCACATGACTGTGTGAGTCAGAGCCACCAGCAGATCACAGAAGGAAGGGCAAATGGACATAGTCTGACTATGGTACAATGCAGGGTAAACAGGGGTAAGACATAAAAGGAAACATACAGAATGCAAGTCCAGCTGTATGGACAACAGCCTTGCAGTGTAGGGAATAGGTACTCCCTACTAAGGGGATTTAGTTATTTTATCTTTTCTACTGTATTTTTGCTTTGATTTACATTAGTGATACTTAGCCTACCTGTGTGGCGCATTTTTGGTAGCTTAGTCAGCATTTTTTGCGCACTAGTGTAGATCTAGAGTACACAAAAAAAAAAAGAGGAAGAACCAGACAGTGAGACAGTGACAAGTAAAGACTGTGAGCAAAAGACTGTGACAAGCCCTTGTTGAGGCACCCCCAGATGACCTCCAGACAACATTATTCACTCATCTCCCCACTCCATTCATTCTGACCAACTCCAGTCCCTCCTTCGCCCTCTTTTCTCAATTCCAAGCTCAGAATCCCTCTGGGTCAAACTGGACCCAATTCTATCAAGCCCTAGGAGTCCTCTGCACTCCCTAGCATCGCTTTTTACCTAACTTACAGTGGGCAACAGAACATTGTCACTTGAAGGTGTGATTAGCATGAATGGTACCATATAAAGTCCAAGAAGGGAATAATGTGAGTGCAGTGTAACAGAAACAGGAAAATGCTTCTCATGGATCTCAATCCAATACATCTCTGAAGATCCTGTACCAAGACCCTTACACTATGGATGTTGATCAGAAGCCTAAAGTCTGATCACAGAGTGAAGCTCCTACCTGTTATGGATGTGGTAAGACAGGGCACATGAAGTCTAAGTGCCCCTCATCCACAACAAGCAATAGGTCCCACTTGGCCAAAGAATCCTGTACTCACATCCTGGCAATGCTTGAGGAACTTGGTCAAACCTCCAGAGATGAAGAAGATCAAGAACCAGAAGACAAATATAGTCAGGAAAATGATGAACCCACAGATGATGGGGGACCAAAAGGAAACCTGGATTTTTGAGAGGCTCCCCTGGTGTAGCATCAGGAAGAGAGCCTGTTGTATCAAGGAAGATAGAGGTTAAGATAGAAACTGAGAAAGTGTATGATTATGAACAGGACATGTCAATCACCTCTATTGCTGGTTTCACTTACCTCATCAACTGAGAAAACACTACTGTCTGAACCATCCTTGACTCAGGCACTGAAACAAATATTATCAATCTGGCCATAGTTCAAAAATATGACATCCTGACATGAAAAATCATGAGACCCTGGGAGCCAAGAAGCTACAAGGGAAGAACAGGAGACTGGGTAGCCCATATTGCCTCCTTCAGAGCCAAGATCTGGGGAAAGACCATGTGCATTTGTGCATACATCCTCAAGCTTGGACATTGGGAGTCCCTCCTCCTCAGAATGCCCTGGCTCAAGGAGCACAACCCCATAATCAGCTGGACCACTCAAAAGCTGATTGATTGGGGGAGCTTGACCATGGTCTCAACAGGAAAAATTGCATATGTGGCATGGACTTCACCAGGACTGTCAAAATAAACTGCACCTCCATTTCCATGATACTCAAAGCTTCTCACATACAGGCAGAGGTTGAGTTGCCATTGGAATATTGGGAGTTCTCAGTAGTCTTCTCCAAAGAAGAAATCCCTCTTCCACCTCACCAGGGGTTCCTTGACCACAAAATTTGCCTGAAGCCCAGCTTCCAGCTGAAGAAAGGAGCCATCTACCCACTTTCACTTGATGAGCTAAATGCTCTCGATGAATTCATTGATGAAAATATCAAGTGCAGGAAGATTTGCCCCTCAAAATCTTTGCAAGCTGCCCTCATGTTCTTCATAGGAAAGAAAGACAGAACAAGAAGACTCATCCAAGATTACCACTATCTTAACTTGCACACCATCATTGACTCATACCCATTACCCAACATAAAAACCCTCCTAGACAAACTTGCTGACTTGAAATATTTCACCAAGTTTGATGAATATAAGGGTAAAGGAGGGTGACAAGTGGAAAGGAGCCTTTATAACTCCAAGAGGACTCTTTGAACCAATGGTAATGTTCTTTGGATGGTGCAACTCACTGCCTACCTTCCAAAGATATGTGGATCACATGTTCAGAGAACTCAAAAGCAAAAGGAAAGCCATCATCTTCATGGATGATGTTACCATACACTTGAAAACAAAGGAAGGGTTGTGTGCCACCATCTGACAGTTCCTGTGCATTGCCACAAAGGAACATCTTCACCTGAAGCTCAAAAAATGCACATTCAAAGCTGAAGAAATAGAGTTCTTAGGGTTCATGATCTGTCAGGGTCAATATGAACTGTCAGAAATTACAATTGAAGCCATCAAAACCTGGGCTGCACCAATGACCCTGAAAGAACTCCATTCCTTCCTCAGCTTCTGCAACTTCTACTGACAATTCATTTCTGGCTTCTCACAGACCATGCCCCCCCTCCATGACCTTTCAAAGAAAAATGCCAAGTGGACTTGGGGACCTGAGCAGGCTTCTGCCTTTGAAACCTTGAAGAAGGCCCTGTTGTCCAAACTGGTTCTTCACCTACCA